AAGGGAAAACATGTATTTAAATGTATTTCACCAACAAAAAGGAGGATTGGATTGCTGGAAAAAATCCCTGATCAACATGGAGGTTTTTAAAATTTCGGAGGATCAAAGGTCCACAATGGTCTATCCCCCAAAACGTGAACACATACCTGCCCCAAGAAATCTTGGAGTAGTATTATATACTGGTTGGTGGTTTGGAACATGGCTGGATTTTTTTCTCCATTCATATTGGGAATGGAATGTCATCATCCCAACTGACTTTCACTCCATCATTTTTCAGAGGGGTAGGTTGAAACCACCAACCAGCCATTATTAACCATCATTAAATCATCATTAACCATCATTAAATCACCATTAATCAATGTATAAATCACCATTAAATCACCAACCAGTATATGTTGATGTTGCTTTCACTTGGGGATCCCAGAGGCTGTTGTTTTTGGATGGATGATTTTATTCCGGTTGGATGCTGGTGGCTAATAAGACTCTGAGACAGAATTCCCCTAATAGAGCGATATTCCTCTAGGATGCCACCCTTAACAAAGCCTGATTCATTGACGGTACCACCTCAATTAGTAATACTTAGCAGACTCAAAATGGCACCCACGGATCCTACAGCATGCTTAGAGGATCCCACGGATCGCTAGTGGCCGCTGTGCGGCTCAGGTCATGATGCTGCTTCATTTCCTGAACTCCTTGTTGTATTTGCAACCTGGCTCCAGCTTGCTTAGTTGTATCTTGCTACTCCAAAAGTGATGATTTTATAAATGAAAACAGGCTAGATCATCTATATTAAACCCAGAGATATGGCCTAAGACCAACTTTTTTTGGCATGTTCTGGAATTGTTCGGTATTGTTTTGGAGGATATACAGTAGGGGTATCGCCAAAAATCTTGGTGTGGAGTGTGGACCTGAAAATGGTGGCGTTAACACACCAAATTTAATTATACCAATCTCATTTAATAGGGAAGATCATGATAGACAGTTGGATGGAATGGGTTTGGGCAGTTCGGAAGTCCAGCTATATGTTGGTTCATTTTGGCAAGGAATCTTGGCTATTGGCACCTATTTGCCATGATTTCGGAATAACAGCGGCAATTTTGTTCCCGGAATGTCAACCAAGTCGCTTCCGGCAGGTTTTTTTCGTAAAGCCTTGGTATGTTTTGGCCTGCAAGACGCCGATTCCATTTTATATATAGGCATCTCATATTTTATATAGTCGTAGTCGGATGTTTTAAAAACCAGCAAAGATCCAGATCATGTCTCATGATCATTTTTTGTCCATCAGCTTGCTTTAAATTAAGTACAAAGGGTAGGACCAAAAGCCAGAAGCCCGAAGCCACACTTCGAATCTGAGTATATCATCCCAAGCAATAAGCTCCCCATATTTGTCTCCTACAGACCCCAAAAGCCATTATCCACGTTCCACTAGGTCACTAGGGCTTCTCTGGGTCCGATTTCATCATTTCTTGGGTGAATCTTGTCGATGTCCTAAGGTGGTCTTAAGGTCAAGGGATCTTTTCGGATCCCCCCAACCAGGTTTGGGTCCATCACCTACCACCTGCATCTCATCATCATGGATGAGGCTTCTGTAGGCGAACCTGGGCAGGATTCGAGCTGGTCAGCTTTAAGGATTACGCAAATCGAAGAAGCTATGTCAGAACATATACTATTATTTATGCATATAGAATTATACAACTATAATATATATATGTATGTATGTATGTTAGATAGATATATATATATATATATGATGTATGCGTCTTTATGTGAGCCAACCGCATGGCTCGTCACAGGAGTTGCCGAGTGGTGTCTTTTGCGTTTCGAGATGTTTCTTTTGGGACGGTGAAGCCCTGGAAATCCCAACACCATCTGATTTTGGATGTTGGTTCCGTGTATTCACTGGTTTACTCTCTGGTAAACGTTTACATTAATGGTGATCAATGGTGGTTAATGATGGTTAATAACGAAGAATTAATGGTGATTAATGATGATTTCACTTACCCTCTGGCAAAGTGTCACACAAAACTATGGAAAGATCCACCATTTTTCATAGGTAAATCAACTATGTTAATTTTCCAGAGGGTATGACGCAAAAATCATTGTATATAGTTATATCAGCGATATAAGGCAGATATATCACCTTGGCGGAGCGATTAGGTTCATTACCCACGTTCTCACCAGACTTCGCCAGAAAGATTTCCGCAATACTTTCGGGCAGGTTTCCTTGACTGAACATGATCAGATTCCGCAGACAAGAGGAGTGTTGAGTGATACAGAGCTAGGTTTCCAAGCCACATAAGAATTGCACTCAGTCTCAGTATGATCAGCACCAGTGATATGTATACCCAATTGCTGAGTTCCGATCCGGAGAGCCACCCAAAAGTCGGATTCGAGTTGGTTTCGGGTTTCGGGTTTCGGGTTTCGGGTTTCGGGTTTCGTCGATTGAAACCAACTTTCGCTGTCGGTTTCGGGTTGCGGGTTTCGGGTTTCGTCGCTTGAAACCAACTTTCGCTGTCGGTTTCGGGTTTCGGGTTTCGGGTTTCGTCGATTGAAACCCACTTTCGCTGTCGGTTTCGGGTTTCGGCTTTCAGGTTTCGGGTTTCGATCGGCACTGGGGAAGTTAAGTATTCAGAGTCGGTTTCGGGTTTCGGGTTTCGGGTTTCGATCGGTCCTGGGGAAGGTAAGTCTTTAGAGTCGGTTTCGGGTTTCGGGTTTCGATCGGCCTGGGGGAGGTAAGTCTTCAGAGTCGGTTTCGGGTTTCGGGTTTCTGTTTTCGCAGTTCGAAACCAACTTTAACAGTCGGTTTCGGGTTTCGGGTTTCGGGTTTTGCTGGTCGAAACCAACTCTGCAGACCTCTCTCCGGATCACGTCTCCAATTGCTTTACTTAACCCTTGCAATAGATATTTCCCTCCTTGCTTGAATAATACAGAACCACTTATCAGACCAATATTAATAATTGAAAAAGTTATATCTTTTGTAAAACCTTGAGCTTTTTTTAAAAGTTGAAACCCACCATTTCAATCCATTTCAATCGTAGCTTCTGGGGCATAAGATATTTCACAAGTATCCCTGCTAGCCGTCCAGGTGCAACCAACCTCATGGTAAAACATGTTTCAATTTGCAACCAGCAAAACATAGAAATCAAGTTCAACATGTTCAACAAAAACAATCAGTGCAGGGTCCTCAAAGTTGTCCCAAATTCAAAAGAAACAACCAAAATATGTTTGTTTCCTTTTAAATCCTTTTAACACCTCTACCAAACTTCCCAAGTGCATTTCATGGGCAACTTATAAAATTCATAGAGCAAAGGTCCCCAGCATAAACAATATCCATCCAGGAGAAGTCTTGATGATCCCGGGTTGTTTCGTTGCCAAGATCACCAAGTCATGGTTTGCCCATTGTATTTAATGTAAACCCCGGATTAATAATTTTTTAAACCATGGTTAATCAATTGTAGGGGTATTGTCCAAATAGTCACGATATGATTTATGAATGTTTTGCAATGTTTTTTTTTTGTGTAGATGTGCCCTTTCATCAATCCATTGGCGGTTCAGCAGGTGGATGCTTCAGAAGATGTTGCAACACAAGTTGCATTGGTTAACGTCCACATGTTTGCTGCCCGGAAAAAAAAAAAAACATAAATGGTACCCCCACCAATTAAACAGCCGTTTGGGGGTATTAATCCAGGGTTGACATTATTGTATTAGCATTGTATTGCCGTGAATTTAAATGTTCTCATCATTGCTGGCTTGAAGAATGCCTAGAGTCCGAGAGTGCCTGGAGTCCTCACATGGTGTCTCCATGTTTCCAGCGGAAGCTGTACCAGGTGTTTTTGACATCACCCTGCAGTTCTCTTCCAACAAAAGGTGCAGGGCGGCATGTGGGACAACGGCTTGAACGGTTTGAGCGTGGAGTGGGGCCTGGAGTGGGATCGCTTTTGTGGAGCAGGATAGTCATAAACCTAGTGCATGTGGATGCATGTGGTTTATGGCGATTCCGAGAACAACACATTGCTCCAATCCATAACCACATGGATGTACATGGTAGCTACAAGCGAGGGGAAGTTGATGGAATTTGGTCATTTTCGACCCAGCTATACCAGCTATACCCTTTGTAGTTGGTGTCGGAGAAACCTGAACAAGGCGTTGTTGCAACGATGCCATGGTCTCTTTCAGAGTTTCATCCAATGCCATAGCGTTCCATGATGGCATGTCACCCATATCATGAGATAAGGCCACTTGTCAACGCTCATTTCGATAAAGTCTCAACCGATTATCAACCCTATCAAAAATGACAAGCCGTGCATCTGATGATGTTTTTTTCTTGACTTCTGCTTGTATTTGCCGGCGGGTTTGCCACATGCTGCATGATTGCTCCAGCGTTGTGCTTGGTAAGGTCGCTCGGATGGGCTCTTGGGAGGTCCACCAGTTGCTATCCATTTACCATCTGGTCATATAGCGGAGAATGGCGCATTTATCTGGCAGGTTATAATATGTTTATAGATGATTTAGATCTATTCCAATATTAAACTAAACATGTTTTTTCCCCATTGAACTGCATGATATCATCATCTTATTTTGCTTTCCTTCATTGCATTTAGAAGGGATGAAAGAGGCTAATGGGATCTAATGGGTTAATTCTGAGCCTTTCGTTTCCAACATGTTTACTATCCTGCCATTATTTCTGTTGGGAATCAAGGCCCTCCGCCATAGCATCAATCCGCGTCAACTATGGCTATGCTCAGTCCCCATAGGGCCCAGAAGTCAGTTCGGCCTATGAACTTCCCCCAAGAAGGGAACCCCCCCATGATCCCAAAATGATTGGACCATGACACTATCAGGTTATATCAGGTTTGTCATAGGGAACATGTATTGAACATGTCATATTTTATTGGGAAGCGCCAATTGCCAACCATCACCGCCGACTGCCGCTCTTTTTCGTTTCGTGGCTCAGTCACAACGGTGCCATCAAAACGTCGTCCACGGCGTGCCGGCGTGCCATGGCGACGTTGGACGATGATGGCAAATCACAGGCGGCAAAACAGCCTTTTTTTGATCGGGGATGTTCCCAGCATTTCCCAGCCATGTTTGATGACTGATCCCATGACGGATCCATGGTGCTGCCATATATGACATGGATCCCATCAATATACCCCATTTATGTTAACATATATACCAGCACCATGGATCCGTCATGGGTATAGATGTCTATAGTAACAGCCATTTTTTCACACAACTTCGTCTTTTGGCCATTTGGATAGGGATCTAAAATGATACACAGATCAGGTATATAAACCAATCATGTTTCTGCCTGGATGTCTGAGACTGAGATAGACTGAGATGGGGAATGGTAACTGGGTGGACTATGGTCGACTGATGAAGGGTGGGAGGATTTGAACTATAAAGAGATATATAATCTATAATCTATAATCTAATCTATCTATATAATTATATATACATATATTATTATGTAAATAAAGAGATTTAAATAGACGCAATCCAATGGGGATGTGGAAAGGCTAAATGTAATGGAAACTATCATATGCTCATAGGTTCATAGGTTAATTTACCGCAGTTTTTCTATGGGTTTTTGCCAGGTTTCGCCAGGTCTGGTCATGGAAGAATGCATCACCAATTTTGGATGGTTGAAAGCCTATACCCTCTGGTAATTTAACATAGCTATGGAAAATCACCATGTTTAATGGGTAAATCCACTATAAATGGCCATTTTCAATAGCAATGTTAGTTTACCAGAGGGTAAATAATGGTATAAACCACCTATTAACATCTATTAACTGGAGGATTTGTTCCATCACACCGTATGATATCCCATTCTATCCCACTACATCCAATGACAACTCATATCCTATCATCCTATCATATTATCCCATGAAAATTCATATCCCATCATATCTTCCCATGGAAAATTTCGATGATTTTGTTGCCAATCTGGCTGGTCATCCACGCCCTTCAGGAACGTGCTTCCGCTGTCTTGCGGGAGCTCTGTGGATACCTGGTGCGCCTGAAGGGGGTCATTGAATGGACTGAAGGGAATTCTAGTGATGTTGAAGGGGACCTAGGGTTTAAGGGACAACCTACAGGAAAGCATAGTTTTTACCATTAAATATGGGGGTTTCTGCAGTTTCCTGTAAATTTCCCCTTAAACCAATCCAATGAGATTTACATTTTAAGGTACTTTTTTTGTTAAAGGGATTTGTTGAAGGACCGTCAGGTGGACTTATTTCATTTGGTGGTTTCAAACATATGTCTGGTTGGTGGTTTGGAAATGTTTGGAACCTTTTTTCCATATATTGGGAAGAATACTCCCAACTGACAAACTCATATTTTTCAAGATGGTTATATAAAACCACCAGCCAGATGTTAGTTTTCGACCTTTTAAATGCGATCCCCAAATCACACAGACCCTTCGGCCCGTCAGGTGCAGCAAGTGCACATAGGTCGCACCGTTCACGTGCCCAACTTGGGCTTGTTCTTCGGTGGGCCTGGGAAGATGCACTTCAAGGCCGGAAAGCTGGCTGGGTTCATGAAGATTATGAAGTATTTGGGGGTTCGAACCCCCAAATAGTGAGAGTTTTCTACTTTAGGGTACTCAATGAAACAAGCCATTGTATTGCTTTCCGGGGTTGACAGTACTTTAACGGGGATATATGTATCAATTCAGCTAAACATGCATTTGTGCGAGGTATAAAGATTGGCATTGAATGAATGTCTAGCTGATTTCTTGGAAAGACACCTCCAGTGTTAGTCATGCATGCCATAGATCTGGATCAAAAAAGATATATCACCAGTCCAGCTGAACGGGGCAACAATCTCCAGATGGCCAAACTTGTCACACTGGGGCCTTGACTGGGGAAGCCTTCTCATTTATCCAGAATCAGAATCTCCATATGTTGGTTTTTACCCCCAGTAAAAGCCATATTTTATTCTCATTACATCCCCATAAATCCGCATAAATGCCATAAATCACCCATAATTCACCCATACAACCAACCATAAATTATCTTTTCAACACTAATCCTTCCCCCTAATCACCCAGTTCGAAGCCATGGTTTAGCAGGAAATTACCGCATAATTGGGACCATTTTGGGTTTAATCTTAGGGGGGTGGGATGATTTTGATGAATTCGTGTTGGTTAAATCATCCGTTCAACATGATAAATCAATATAAATCACCCATTATCCTCATCAAACACCCATAAATCCCCCCAAAAAATCACGGCATTTCTCCCGCGTCGTCCCTGAAAAACCGCCAGGTCTTAGAGAAGCTGCTGCCGCCAGAGCACCGCTGGGAGGGACCCAGTCCCGGCATCGGACCGATCGCCAAAGTGCGGGCGGCTGGGCGATCCGCAACTGAAAATGGGAAGCTCACTGGTTTGGTTGATGTTTTCTTGGGAAAATATGGGAAAATCGAAACCCGAAACCATGGGTTTTTCCTCATCAAATTATATATATATATATCAAATATATCAAATAATTATAAGGGTTTCCGGTTCATTTTTTTCCCTTAAACCAATCCAATGAATACTGTTCCTCCCCCAAAACTAATGACCTAACCTCAGATTTGCAGGATTTTTTCTAAAATCGGGACCTATTTATGATTTGAATACCCTCTGGTTAACATTGTTAATTCTGGTTAATGATGTTGATTAATGGTGATCAATGATGATTAATTAAATATGTTTTAATGGGATATTGAACAGTTTGCTATTGAAAATGACCATAGAAATTATTGATTTAGCTAGTGAACGTAGTGATTTTCCATAGTTATGTTAGTTTACCAGAGGGTATTGTTCCCCCCCAAATCAGGACATGTTAGGACCGAACCTGATTTTTTTGGATTTAGCGGCAACTATAATTACTAAAAAACATATGGCTTGAGAGTGGAACATAAGTTAGTTTTTAACTAGGATAATATCAAACCAATCAAAGGGGTTTATCTATATATGTGTGCGTGTGTGTGTGTGCACACGCACATGACTAAAAGCACGGATGTCTATAGATACCTATAGGCATTTGGAGATCTTTGGAACTATAAGGTATGCAATCTGTGGACACATGTTTGATCTAAGATGGCCATGAAAATCCCATGGGTTTTTTCATAAGTTTTATTTTTTGGTGATCCCAAGCTGAAGTCCTCCAAGGTAGAGAAGATTGCTCGCGGTGCCGGGGTACATAAGGAACTCGCAGAGGCCCGATGTCAGCGCCGGAAAATCCACCATCATCCATTTGAAAACTCCACTAGGCCATAACCCGCTGGAAGCTTGCTATTTCCTGGTGAATTAACATAGCTATTGAAAATGGCAATTTATAGTGGATTTACCCATTGAAAATAGTGATTTTCCATAGTTATGTTAGTTTACCAGAGGGCATTTCCTGGTGCATTGAATTTTGTGTTTTTTGGGGTGACGAAATTTCCTTCTCGGCGAGTCTGACACGTTTTGAAGTTTAGAGAGTTTTCTCAAAACCTGTCACAAGCTACACAGAGTTTGGGAATACTTGACATTTCACATGTCCAAAAAGGACATCTTTGGTCCATGAAAATGGTGTAACCCGACATAACCCGACCAACCGTGGACGGTTGACTCGGTTGACGTGTGGGGTTTCTCTGCCACCCTGGTGTTGATGGGATTTGAGGAATATGTTTTCAAACCCAGCGGAAGAACATTTTGAAATGGAGAAATCATAGGAGAAAATCATCCTATGTTCATAAATAGTGGTTACCAAAATAAAATGCATATGGAAAATAATCCACTCATGAGAAAATCATCCACTCAATGTCCATAAATAACTTGACATATTTTTGGACCGTTTTCAGGAGCTGCTGCAGACAATGGTGAAAGACTTTTGGGCTGTCGCTCCGTCTGCAGTGGGTGGGGTGATGACGTTTCATGAAATATCCCGCAATATGAATGGGTTCCTGAGTACTGGATGTAATTGGTTAATATTGGTTACCAATTAGATGCTAGCATCTATACTAATCTATACGTTGGATGGTTGTACCACATGATTCCCGGGATTCCCGATGATTTCGTCAAATCCATGGATTTTTGGGGCCCTTTAGCCATCTCATCCATATTTGGAGACTGAACGGAGGAGGGTTCATCATTGCAGAGGTAATTTTTATGTGTTGTAACCTCTATGACTATGATGCAAACATTCGCAAATTCCCATCCATGCGACCCTTGAGACTAAGATATCATCGGATTTAGGGTTAGATGCAAGGTGCGAAACATATCCCAGCGCTTCCAAAGAATAGGTTTACTGAGTGCGTTATCACAAAGGACAGGTTTGACTAAAGGCTACAATTACCCATGTTACAGGAATTATGGAAAACATTGAGAACCATGTATTCACGACCTTTCACTCACTTTTCGCGTTTATTTTCAAAGGTCGTAATTTCATCAAGATTGACCGGCTTCAGAAAGGCTACGGTAAACCTAGGCGTTATGACTGGGTGAGTTTTGGTGTCCGTTGAAGTTCTGGGTATGGTATTTGTATAGCCCTGATGAAGATCCTATAGCCCTGACTAGGGGACCGACTCGTTTCGGACGTCCATCTCGTCCATCTCGTCATCGGAAACCAGGTTTGATCAAAATTCATCAGATCTGGGAGAAACCTTGGCCAAGGTTCACTACGTGACGTAGTTCAATTTCATCTTTTAAATCTGTTAATGGTAATTTCATCGTCCTAACCAGCTACTTAACTGAGATATTTCTTGGGCAGGATTCACTGATTTACATTATTGCTGGGTAAATTTCATCATGACCGAAGCCGTCGTTCTCCCGAGCCCTGGTTCATCATGGTTTATTTTTTCGGGAAATCATCCCCAAATAAATGGCCGCAAGATTCAGGTTAGCGAAATATTGTCATTTACCCAGATCTATATATATATATAAAAATGGATCATATTCATGGATATATGGAACATATTAATGGATTATATTATCCATTATATTTATATATGGATGAAGCATGACATATAGGCATCCCTAAGCAATTGGATGGCTACAAAGCCTACCGAGGCCATCCAGGAGTCACCGGAAGTGGAGCTGGATCTGCCTGGCGTGGGCAAAATCAAGGCCCTGCCGTTCCGTTACCCATTTGGTGGGGAATGTCATGGGATGAGTGTGGATTACCCTCTGGTAATGACTAAGATAGCTATTGAAAATGGCAATTTATAGTGGATTTTCCCATTAAAACTGGTGATTTTCCATAGTTATGTTAGTTTACCAGAGGGTATGATGGATTAGATTATGTACTAAAATATCCCATTGGTTATCACCATTAAAAAACCATTTAGCCCAATTTACATCATATTAATCACCGTTAATCACCACTAATCACCATTAATCACCATTAATCACCATTAATCACCATTAATCACCATTAATCACCATTAATCACCATTATCTGGTTGGTGGTTTGGAACATGGCTGGATTATGACTTTCCATTCGTATTGGGAATGTCATCATCCCAACTGACGAACTCATACTTTTCAGAGGGGTAGGTATACCACCAACCAGTGATGGATTTTGATAGATTATGATAGATTATGATCACAGCCATAAGTGAATAAGCCATCGTTTTTTTTAATCTTGCAGACTATGATGCACCGTGATAATCTAAGCTTAATCTAAACATCCCAGCCAGGCGATCTAAACATCACTGGGGTATCCTGGAACCCATTTATGGGAGAATCCCCGACTGATCCGTGGGATGATCCCCCGGAGGATGATACAATTTGATGAGGATCGAAGCCTAAACCCTCGCTGGAATGTCGGGAATTACTCTCTGGTTATGACTAACAGTTTGCGAACTGGAAAATCACCATTTTCAATCGGTAAACCATCTATAAATATAAATGGACCATTTTCCATGGCTAATTCTGTTAGTCATAACCAGAGGGTAGATTGGGGTAACTGTACCTTGGTCAGGATCCACATCCGAAAGATTGGTCAGGCCTTCGTGAAATTGATTACCCGGCCTGGTAAACATAGAAAAAGCTATTGAAAATGGCCATGTATAGTGAGTTTTCCCATGAAAAATGGTGATTTTCCATGGTTATGTGACAGTTTACCAGAGGGTACCTATTAAATATTGTGATTTTCCATAGCTATGTTACAATGTTAGAAAATACCAGCGGGTTTTCGAACAGACTCACATATGTTTCAGGGATGTTTCAACAATAACCCCCCCAATGTGCAGAAATGTTTTTTTACATGTTGGCCTCAACATACGGATCCTCTGATTACACGTGTAGACGACATGCCCTCTGGTAATCAGTTCCATGGTTTTCTGGAGAATCTAATGATTAATCTTATAGATATTTATAGGTGAATTCCCAGCTATAAACTTCACTAAACTTCCCAGCTATCATCCTGGATTCGTCCCAAAGATATTCCCACGAAATAGCCTCAGTAGCCTCCATTCTCTCGGGATTTCCTGGGATTTCGCCGTGGCCGTGGCCGCCAGTGGTCGCCAGGTTCAGGAAAAGACCTTGACCTTCGAGGCTTTTGGCACTGAGCTGCCCAGAGCCAAGGCCCGAGCCAGAGCCAATGGAGCCCTGGTGATTGGCCATTTGAAAATGGCCATTGAAAATGGCATATGGCATAGATTTTCTATATATGATACATGATGATATATGTAGATATAGATCAGCCTCTAACTTATATATATATAATATATAATTCATATGAATTCATATGATATAAGTCAATATAAAAACACCCTTTTTATGGCCTGAAAGTTTCAGGTATCGCCCGTCCAGGTGACGGCAGAGCACCAGATGTTTAGCCGCACGGCCGGTGAGCTGTGGTCGCGGATGCCCCAAAGTCCCTTGGATGGTGGCGGTGATTGATGCTTGGGAATAGCATGGAATAGGCGATGTAATTATCATGAAAATTCATGAAACAAATCATGAAACAAACCATGATGTTTTTCCACATCTAGAATCCTACATCCTTGGAGGGTCAAACAACATCACCAATTAATATAGATCAATGATATCGGTGGGGTCTACCTTGTGGTGAAGGCTAGTTTCAGCATGTTTCAGTACAGTTTACCAAGCATTTTTTGTCAACAATCCACATCGGTCCCCAGAAATCTCCAACGTCACTTTTTTTGTTGGTGAAAAACTGTAGTGATCTTGGTGAACGATGGAACTATCTCAAACTAACTCGGATTCTTTCGTCATGGCGTAAATGACTGGGGACGGTGGTTTCAAACATGGCTGGATTATTTTCCATCATATGGCTGGGATGTCATCCTTCCCATTGACGAAGTCCATCATTGTTCAGAGGGGTAGGTCAACATGTAGGTCAACCACCAACCAGATGACCATGGTTCTTTTTTACATGAGAATTCATGGATTTCTTTCACACAATCGATGTTTTTTTTTCTCCAAATGGCAGGCCATGAGGTTTTCCCCAACAACTGGCTGTTGGTGCACAGAACTTGGTATAACTGCAAAACATGAGGATTTAGGATGCAAAAAAAATTGCACATCACACGGCGTCATGACGGTTGTACAAGCTTATTTGAGGCCATTGAGGCCACCGTTATTTGATGTTATTTGTTGGTTGACCCCAGCAACTATGGTTATATCCCCAGTGGTAACTTTACTGGTTGGTGGTTTGGAACATGGCTTTTATGACTTTCCATTCATATTGGGAATGTCATCATCCCAACTGACGAACTCATATTTTTCAGAGGGGTAGGGCTCAACCACCAACCAGTTTAGGTAAGCAAATGTTCAGTGAACTGTTCGCTATCGTTTTGGTGCCTCACCTTGTACTGTTGGTATCTCAGGTCAGCACTCGCTTCGGTCCAAAGTCTCTTTGTCTGCAGCGGTTGCCGGTGGTTCTTCAATGTTCTTCATAATGGCTGGGCAAATCATCAAACTCCATGGGGGCATTTTTTGGGGATTTTCCAGAAAGCCATACAATGTGAGGCTGCCGTTGGATAGCTAAGTTGGTGAACATAACTCCAATTTCACGAACTGGTTTATGGTACTTATAACTTATAACTATAGTTACTGGGGCTTTTGTAAACCAACAAACATCACTGGGGGGCCTCACATTGTAATTATTAGAGGGCAATTGGTAAGCTTAACCAACTGGACCAATGAACTGGACTAGGGATGTCACCCCGAAAAAAGCGACCCGGAACAGTTGTGGCCAAAATAGGGTCACACATGGGTGAGACCTTTAAAATGCACGTGTTCACTTGCATTTGAGGTGGCAAAAAACTGGGAAGCACAGTGTTTACTAAGTTGGGTGAACAGACGCATCAGTATATTTGTACATGCATACTTCTTGCAACCTTTGAACATTCACATACAATGCAACAATGTCCATTTTCGTGTCAATCAAATTATATATCTTCCAAGGCTCATTTGTTTGGGTCACTACAAATTGACAGCAGGGTGCCCCCGTGTTTTTTGTTTGGATTCTTTCGCTGGTTCAGTTCCCAATCTACTAGCTTCATGTCGCCCACCATCCCAACGCCCCATGAACAATGCCCCTGCAAAAACCCAATCAAAAACCCAGGCAGAGGAAGCGAAGGAGCTCAAAAAATCCACTTCCACGCCAGTTCTGCAGCCCGGCGATGGTCAGTAAAGGGAGCAGTAAAGGGAGCGGTCTTCATATCCCGAAAAAGAGGGGGAAACGGATTTAAAAAAAAAAGGAGCTACTCATGGAGTTTCCCAACCACGTGATAGTTAATATTGAATATAGTTACTGTAAGACAGACAGAATTTTGGCAGATGATGATCCCCAATCGTCCGTTTTCCGGTTGAAGCCACCAACCGGAATCAACCAGACTTCTCACCACTTTCCAACATTGGGATTGGTTGATTTTCAGAGTCCTAGTTGGAGGACTGGCATATGATGGTATCATTTAGAATCATGTAGCTGGTGAACATTCTAGCGACCCCAGAGCGAACATCTCTGTGGTAAATATGATGTTGTTTTTTCATGTTTTTTTCCGGATTTTGGAGATGTTATAGTTGAACTCCGGAAGATTGTCAATGTCCCAAGAAAAGGGGCCTCGGAGATTTCAGATGATTTCAGTATTTTGTTTTGGCATGTTTCCATATATATGTTTCCCACATCTTTCTGGACACATGTTTTTTCTTCGTCCCGGGTGGATCACTTTCGTTGTGGATTGTGCTTTATGGCGAGCAGTAGTCCCATGATGATGAATGTGCACTGGTTGGTGGTTTGGAAAATGGCTTTTATTTTTCCATTCAGTTGGGAATGTCATCATCCCAACGGACGAACTCATATTTTTCAGAAGGGCTAGGTCAACCACCAAGCAGTTCATGATCCCAGGATGTTTGGGATTGGGACTTGGATGGCCTTGACCTGACCCAGCGCCATGTGGCGCCATGTGGCGCCATGTGGCGCCATGTGGCGGCCGAGGAAACCCCTGAACCACGAGGCGAGGGTGAACGGCGAGGTGTCATTTCCCAGCAGTTTCAAGGATCGCAAATTGGCTTCTCTGAAGGACCGATATGGACCGAGGATGCCGAGGTCCAGGGCATCGGAGGTGATGAGTTGTGGATGAAAGGGATGTGGTGAATGAGTGGTTCAGAATGGTCAAAACCTAACCATATTTGGGGGGTGAACTTGGTGAACATTAATTTACCGGCTTTCAGATGCTTTCAGATGTTCAGCAGAGGTACACGGTTTGGGCCCATCACCAAATCCCAATGTGGAGAGTCAGATGCTGCGATTTACCCTCCGGTAATGACTACCAGTTTGCCATGGAAAATGATTTAAAAGGCACTCTCGATGCTTTACCTATCAGAAATTGTGATCGCAACCAGTTCGCAAACTGTGAAAAATTAGCCTCTGGTAAACTGTCACATAACTATGGAAAACCACCATTTTTCATGGGTAAATCCACTATCAATGGCCAGTTTCAATAGCTATCTTAGTCATTACCAGAGGGTACCCTCTTGTAACTTGGCGATTTCACCTTGATTCACTCATGTGAGATCCTCAGTGGCCAAAGTCCGGAGAAAAAAACTGCCATCCAGGAGGATGCTGAAGCGATCAGTGCCTTGGGACACAATTTATCCTCAAAACGGTCACAAAACTCAGCTCGAGATCTGGATATTTTTGCAGAGTTCACCTGGGGAATCCCATGGAAATCCCCATTCCAACGAATTCATCCACTGCCTCCACCGGGCGTTTCGGCAGCGCCGTCCCGGCGAGGCAAACGTTTCACTCGTCAGCTGCCGGTCTCGGATCGGCTCTTCCCGCCCATCTTGGATCGCTGCTCGCGCACCCGCGCCGCGCTCTTCAGGGAGTCGGTCAACCGGGACCACATTAGCAACGCCACTTGGGGCGCTGAGCTGGCTGAAGCTGAATGGGAATTTATATGGAATTTATGGGATCCAAATGTTTATTGATTTTTTCTTGTGGGTTTCATGAGATAACGCGAATGATCAACGGAATTGATGATTTGTATGGGATCTTGTTTGGGGTTAATAAGGTAAACCCTATGATTTTACGTGTTTTTTTTTAATGGGATCTTTATGAGGGTGTAGTGAGGTAAAAAAAACAAGTCCGCCATAAACGATCCCCAATTTTGGGGTTTGTGACATTGGGTATGCCCCTACTGGGATAATTAAACATGACCCCCATGCTTGGTGAACGGGATGGTGATACAATGGTGATACAATTGATGTCAGCCCCGGATTAATAAACCATGGTTTATTAATTATAGGGGGGTACTCCTCCATGTTTAGTGGTGATCTCCCATAGTTTCTTGTATGTTTACCAGAGGGTACATGGGTTGATTGTTAATATGTTGCAACTTCTCGGATGGCCAACGAGAAGGGTTTTTCATACGCCCCACACTGGGCTTGATGGTGGTCCTATGTTTATGTGTAGTTCTCATACGTCTTAGATTTTCTTAAATTGAGGTGGGTTACTGTAATGTCAACCCCGGCTTAATAAATTCATGAATTAGGGGAGTTATCACCAAAACAATGATAATATATGATAATATGCTAGTTGAACGGGACTTCCCTATTAAGAATTGGTGATTTACTTCTAGAATCCTGGATTGGCATTGACCCTGGTGAATGGCAGGTTGTCACTTTTTTTTAAGAGCGGCCTATTCTAGATGTAGGAATTGTATTTTCTATTTTATAACACCCCGAAACAAGAAGGGGTGGGATGGTTACTTGAGATTACCTAGACTCTAGACTCTCCAAATACCATCAAAAGATGGTAAAGCAGTAAAAGTACCAACAAATATGGGGCCGAAACACAAGCTTAAAGGGTAGGAGGGTCTAGGTAGTTGTGAACAATCACCTGTTCAGGGAATATAGCACTTCACCGTTATTTCCACTGGCTATGATGATATTCGAATCCCCTCAATTTTCCCCTAAAATCACGGGGATTTGACCATTTCACTGGAGGATGCTGGATGATGCTGGATGATGCTTAGTACGTCTCCATGACTCATGGTGTATCCTACATTTTTGGATTGCATATAACAGTTTAACGGAATCATACGCATCCCAATAGGTCAATAGGTGCTGGTTAGCAGCTTATCCCGCAGCCCAAAGTTTCCGAAAAGTGCTTTCCATGTTCTCCTTTTCATTTTGTTTCTCCAAGTGGCTGACGGAAAGCTGCTGGCTGCGGACGTGTAGTTCGTTTTTAGAACTGCATATCGCTGATGGAAAAAAACAATCAGAAACTAATCCCAAATCATCCCAACCTTGGAACGGTAGAAACTAATCTCAATGGGAATTTCAGTATCCTAAAATGGAGGTACTGTACCATATTTCTGGCCATATTTTTGTGGGTATATTCCCTTACATAGGCCTAGAAAATAGGCCTTATATATGGTAGGTACCTCCAATTTAGGTTCCTGAGATGGCCATTGATCTGATGATTAGTCAGATTTAGGAAATACCCCAGTTTCGGACAAACCCATTTTTTTTTTGGTTTATACCCATCTTTAGTTTTTTTTTGGCAATGGAACATCACCACGTCACCAGCTAAAACAAAACAGGTCCGACGTTTGGACGGACCTGTGGGATGATCAGCAAGAGCATCTTCATTTCGTCATGTCCTCCTGGGGTGTTTGATGGTGCCATATGTTCCAGTAACACTTCCATTATTTTAACCATTTACTAAGTGGAATGATCCTCCAAGTGGATACATACTATATATGTATATATATATATTATAATATATATATATATGTATATATATATATACACATATACAAAATGGAGGGGAGCCCATATAAATGGAACAGATATTAATTGGATGCTTATCATCGATTCGTGGGATCCAAGAAGCCCTCCGCATCCGCCCCAGGTCATTGGTTCCAACTACTCGCCGCACTCGCGGTCCCTGACCATCGACCACGAGGCGCACGCCTCGTTGTCGGACACGCTGATCCGGCGGAAGCCGGAACCAAAGACGGTGCCTTGACATCGGGGTTTGCCATGGGAGCATATGGGAGCCCAAAAGATGGCAGTTTAGGTGGTTGATATCAGGTTTGCCATGGGTTGATGGAAGATCCTTGAAGATCTAACTATAGTTAGATGATGTTAGATGGATTTGTGAGGTTATACCCCTGACCCCTTGTCAGACACAGCCCTGTTGGTGTCAGCCGGGACCCCTCCGGCTGCACCATCTTAGTTATCATCAAGATTTTGGATGGGAAGTTTGATGCGTAACAATCGCTGTTGCTGCGAAATCCATACACATTCTATCTCATCCTATTCGTCATTCCAGGCAAACGACCTAAGTGGCATGAGGCTGAGAAAATAGACCAACCAACAGAAGAGCAAGTTGTTGTATAAAGCAGATATTTTTTTAGCCATGAGTTGGCTCCTGTCGGTTGATACTGGCTTGATGATGATACATGATGATTTCAAGACACAACCAGTGCCAGAAAAACTTGGCCATAGCACTGGTGAAAGATTGGCTTCATCTATATCTAACATGAACCTGGCTGGTGATTTTTGGGCTGACGCCCCTCGTCGGCTCCGCCGGACCACTCGGCCCTCCATTTCATCGCAGTGTGGGCGTGAAAGTTACTGAATGAGGACTTGCTTCAGAAATATATTCCTTAGGTTTTTTGGAACGTATTTGTTGGAATAGACGATTTTTTGGGGAGCAAGTGAGTTCCCGAAAGCTCCTGCGAAGGGTTTTTCCTAAAGAACTGCTGCCGATTTCAACTTGTTACTTCGTGTAAAGGCGCCTCTGTGCAAAGACTTCTCTGTGTAAAAGCTTTTGTGTGTAAGAGTTTCTGTGTGTAAAAACCACTTTGTGTAAAGATTTTTTTGTGTAAAAGCTTCTCTGTGTGAAAGCACGTCTTTGTAAAGATTTCTCTGTGTGTAAAAGCTTCCGTGTATAAAAACTCTCTGTGTAAAGGCTACTTCTCTGTGTAAAAGTTTCTGTGTGTAAACGCGTCTGTGTGTTAAAGCTCTCTGTGTAAAGACTTCTTTGTGTAACAGCTTTTGTGTGTAAAAGCTCCAAGACGTTTGTGTGAAAAAGCTCCTCAGAGGAAAGACTTCTCTGTGTAAAACCTTCTGTGTGTAAAAAGCTACTCTGTGTAAATGTGTAAAAGCCCCTGCGTGTGTAAAAGCTTGCTGTGTGTAAACGCTTTGGTGTGTAAACGCTTTGGTGTGTAAACGCTCCTCTGTGTAAAAGCTTCTCTGTGTAAAAGCTTCTGTGTGCAAACGCGTCTGTGTGTAAAAAGCCCTCTGTGTAAAGACTTCTTCGTGTAAAAACTTCTGTGAGTTAAAGCTCCTAGACGTTTGTCTGCAAAAGCCCCTTAGAGTAAAGACTTCTCTGTGTAAAACCTTCTGTATGTAAAAAGCTCCTTTGTGTAAAGACTTCTCTGTGTAAAAGCCCCTGTGTGTGTGGGTAAAAGATGGTAAAAGCTTCTGTGCGTCTCCTCCCTCCAGCTTTCTTTCGGGTCACGCTGTCGTCCAGTTTCAATCTGCAACGTTGTTTCTTGTGGAAGAGTGCAAAATAATGCAAAGAACATGTGAAAGCATCGCACGTTTAAAAATTGAACATAAACAGCGCACAAAGTGCTGTAATTTACAGCATATTGCGCTGTCAGCTGGCAAGAACCCGCGTAAATACCACAGTTTTAGTCCCCCAAAGTGGCTAAAACACTGTTATTTACAGGGTTTCGTTCACGTCACGATCTTCGATTTTTTGGGAAACGCGTAAATACCAGCGTTTTTTTGCGTTCATCAAGGCAAAACATCGGTTCAAAAAGTGCAAAAAATGCTGTAATTTACAGGGGTTTGGCGCCGTCACGGGCAAAAAACCGTGTAAATACCAACGTTTCGGCGTCCCAAAAGTGGCTAAAACACCGCTATTTACAGTGTTTCGTGCCTTCCACGTTTTCTTGAAATTGCAAAAACAGTGTAAATACCAGCATTTTTTGCGATCAACTTGCCAAAAATGCTGTAATTTACAGTGTTTTTTTGCTTGGCTTTCAAAAACACTGGTATTTGCGGTGTTTTGTGCATCTCCGGTCTAAAAAGTATTGGTATTTACAGCATTTTCTGCTTTTTTTCATTGCTCCCGCAAAAGACGTCAAAACGCAAAAATGCTGTAATTTATAGCATTTTGTGACTTTCGAAAAGCGAAAAATCGTCCGAAAAATGTGTCAAAACGGCGCTTTTTTCCGATTTTAGGTACCCTCAAAACGGGGGGGGGGAATGCTCTTGGAGACGCTTATGAGCGACCCGGATCCCGGCCAAAAAGCTCTCCCCCACCCTCCTGAAGGATTTTTGGTGTTTTTCGGGGCCCGGCGTCGGAGGGTCGGCGGCTTGGGGCGCGCCTCACCTTAGAGCTCTAGTCGCTCTGGGACGCTCGTAGGGCAAGCCACTCGTGGGGAGCCGGCGGAGCCGAATTTCAAATTTAAGGGCTGCCGCCCCTGCCGCCGACCCCGGAAGAATGGTCAAGTAACCAAACCAATAAGCGAACCAAATGGGCACTTGACTTGCTTGGCTTCATTGCTCCAAGTTACCCCTGTTGGTTGATGGGTATATGTTGATGGGATCCTTCGTCGCGACCAGTTGGCTTCACAGCACCGCAAGTCATTTTGTCCATGTTGGCTTACCATCAGATTTCCGACATTTGAAACAAAATTGTTGTGTTATATGACAGTTATATCATATATCATATGATGGTCTGAGTTTTTTCCGACAATTGGTCGACAGTTTCCAGCCTTTAGCTACTTTAGGGATCCAACTAGCCAGCATCATGTTTTGTTGATCTTGGAGTAGTTTAGATAAATAGTAAATGTTAAGCAGCACAGGCTTCCCAAGTCTCAGTTACAGTTACAATATGTTACAGATTTTCGGTTTGTTTTCCGACTCTGTTGATTTTTCGACAGATTCTGTTGCCTGCGGCTGCTAGCAGTAAAACAGCTTCGAAAAAATCACCTCCCGGCAGGGAAACACAATGCCTCTGAAGGACGAGCTAGTTCCAAAACCACGCCAAAAAACTCCCTACGTCTCGTCTGAAATCGTAGAAAAACAGCATTTTTCGACAGATTCTGTTGCCTGCGGCTGCTAGCAGTAAAACAGCTTCGAAAAAATAACCTCCCGGCAGGGAAACACCATGCCTCTGAAGGACGAACTCGTTCCAAAACCACGCCAAAAGACTCCCTATAACGTCTCGTCTGAAATCCTAGACAAACAGCATTTTTCGACAGATTCTGTTGCCTGCGGCTGCTAGCAGTAAGCCAACTTCAAACAAATCACCTCCCGGCAGAGAAACACCATGCCTCTGAAGGAAGAGCTAGTTCCAAAACCACGCCAAAAAGCTCCCTAACGTGTCGTCTGCAATCCTAGAAAAAACAATATTTTTCGACAGATTCTGTTGCCTGCGGCTGTTGCTAGTCCTCCTGCTGCTGCATCTGCTGCGGCTGCTGCTGCTGCTGCCGCGCCAAAAGCCCCTGCTGCTGCAACTGCTGCTGCTGCGGGTCCTGTATTTGCTGCTGTTGCTCCTCCTCCAGGGAAACACCATGCCTCTGAAGGACGAGCTAGTTCCAAAACCACGCCAAAAAACTCCCTAACGTCTCTTCTGAAATCGTAGAAAAACAGCATTTTTCGACAGATTCTGTTGCCTGCGGCTGCTAGCAGTAAAACAGCTTCGAAAAAATAACTTCCCGGCAGGGAAACACCATGCCTCTGAAGGACGAGCAAGTTCCAAAACCACGCCAAAAAACTCCCTAACGGATCGTCTGAAATCCCAGAAAAACACCGTTTTTCGACAGATTCTGTTGCCTGCGGCTGCTAGCAGTAAAACAGCTTCGACAAAATCACCTCCTGGCAGGGAAACACCGTGCCTCTGAAGGACGAGCAAATTCCAAAACCACGCCGAAAAACTCCCTAACATCTCGTCTGAAATCTTATAAATCTTAGACAAAAACAGCATTTTTCGTTAGATTCTGTTGCCTGCGGGTGCTAGCAGTCAAACAGCTTCGAAAAAATAACCTCCCGGCAGGGAAACACCATGCCTCTGCAGGACGAGCTACTTCCAAAACCACGCCAAAAAACTTCCTAACGTGTCGTCTGAAATCCTAGACAAAAACACAATTTTTCGACAGATTCTGTTGCCTGCGGCTGCTAGCAGTAAGCCAACTTCAAACAAATCACTTCCCGGCAGGGAAAACACCATAGCAGTGAAGGACAGAGAAGCGCCAAAATTGCACCCCGAAAATGCCTAACGTAACTTCTGAAACCCATAGAAAATGATGATTTTGGCCGTTTTTTCCTCTTGCTGCTGCTATGAATTTTGGCTGCCTTTTCCTCCTGCTGCTGCGGAGGCTTTTGCTGCTGCTGCTGCTGGTCCCCGGATGGAAAAACACCATGGAAAAAATCACCTCCCGGCAGCAAAACACTATGCCTCTGAAGGACGGAGAAGCCCCAAAATTGCACCCCGAAAATGCCTAACGTAACTTCTGAAACACATAGAAAATGATGCTTTTGGCTCCTTTTTCCTCTTGCTGCTGCTATGAATTTTGGCTACCTTTTCCTCCTGCTGCTGCCCCCTGAAAATGCCTAACGTAACTTCTGAAACCCATAGAAAATGATGATTTTGGCTGCTTTTTCCTCTTGAATTTTGGCTACCCTTTCCTCCTGCTGCTGCAGAGGCTTTTGCTGCTGCTGCTGCTAGTCCCCAGATGGAAAAACACCATGGAAAAAATCACCTCCCGGCAGCAAAACACCATGCCTCTGAAGGACGGAGAAGCCCCCAAAATTGCACCCCGAAAATGCCTAACGTAACTTCTGAAACCCATAGAAAATGATGCTTTTGGCTCCTTTTGCCTCTTGCTGCTGCTATGAATTTTGGCTACCTTTTCCTCCTGCTGCTGCAGAGGCTTTTGCTGCTGCTGGCCCCCGGATGGAAAAACACCATGGAAAAAATCACCTCCCGGCAGCAAAACACCATGCCTCTGAAGGACGGAGAAGCCCCAAAATTGCACCCCGAAAATGCCTAACGTAACTTCTGAAACCCATAGAAAATGATGATTTTGGCTCCTTTTTCCTCTTGCTGCTGCTATGAATTTTGGCTACCTTTTCCTCCTGCTGCTGCAGAGGCTTTTGCTGCTGCTGCTGCTGCTGCTGCTGGTCCCCGGATGGAAAAACACCATGGAAAAAATCACCTCCCGGCAGCAAAACACCATGCCTCTGAAGGACGGAGAAGCCCCAAAATTGCACCCCGAAAATGCCTAACGTAAACTTCTGAAACCCATAGAAAATGATGCTTTTGGCTCCTTTTTCCTCTTGCTGCTGCTATGAATTTTGGCTACCTTTTCCTCCTGCTGCTGCCCCCCGAAAATGCCTAACGTAACTTCTGAAACCCATAGAAAATGATGCTTTTGGCTCCTTTTGCCTCTTGCTGCTGCTATGAATTTTGGCTACCTTTTCCTCCTGCTGCTGCAGAGAGGCTTTTGCTGCTGCTGCTGCTGGCCCCCGGATGGAAAAACACCATGGAAAAAATCACCTCCCGGCAGCTAAACACCATGCCTCTGAAGGACGGAGAAGCCCCAAAATTGCACCCCGAAAATGCTTAACGTAACTTCTGAAACCCATTAGAAAATGATGATTTTTGGCTCCTTTTTCCTCTTGCTGCTGCTATGAATTTTGGCTACCTTTTCCTCTTGCTGCTGCAGAGGCAAAAGTGCCGCTGCTGCTGGTCCCCGGATGGAAAAACACAATGGAAAAAATCACCTCCCGGCAGCAAAACACCATGCCTCTGAAGGACGGAGAAGCCCCAAAATTGCACCCCGAAAATGCCTAACGTAACTTCTGAAACCCATAGAAAATGATGATTTTGGCTGTTTTTTCCTCTTGCTGCTGCTATGAATTTTGGCTGCCTTTTCCTCCTGCTGCTGCGGAGGCTTTTGCTGCTGCTGCTGCTGGTCCCCGGATGGAAAAACACCATGGAAAAAATCACCTCCCGGCAGGGAAACACCATGCCTCTGAAGGACGGAGAAACCCCAAAATTGCACACCGAAAATGCTTAACGTAACTTCTGAAACCCATAGAAAATGATGCTTTTGGCTCCTTTTTCCTCTTGCTGCTGCTATGAATTTTGGCTGCCTTTTCCTCCTGCTGCTGCAGAGGCTTTTGCTGCTGCTGCTGCTGCTGGTCCACGGATGGGAAAACAGCATGGCAGTGAAGGACAGAGTGGTAGTAGTAGTAGTAGTAGTAGTAGGCGGCTTTTTGCTCTTGCTGCTGCAATGAATTCTGGCGACCTTTTCCTCCTGTCTTCTTCCCTGGCGCGCTCCCCCTTGCATCTGCCGGGGTCGGCGGACATTTTTAAAGGGATAATCCTTCCCATTGACTTTCATATTTTTCAGAGGGGTAGGTATACCACCAACCAGGTAGGGATTGAACTGAGCAAACTGTGAAGGGTTGATATTGGATGAAGCGGCAACCAAGCTGTGATGATCACGGATCATTTCTACTGAGCCCAGCAAGCCAATGATCAGCCAGATGTCAAGGTATGATCCGAAGGCCTAGTGTTTCTGCGACCCCCCAAACAGATAGAACAATACGATATCTGATATCATATCAAACTATATCAAAATCTATCAAAATCCATCAAAATATATCAAAATCATAATGAACCAACATAGTGTTTCTCAATGTTTCTCAACGATTTTCTATCGGTCTTTTGTAACATGTTTTACCATGTTTTACCGAAATCAGGGGCTTCGAACACCGGGCCATCGGTTCAGCCAGGACAACCAGGACAGGGCCCAGGACGTTCGAAACCTGGACTGGACGGCAGAGTGGCCTGCGATCCTGGAGGACTCCCCCGTGGCCGGGGAGATCGAGGCAGCTGCTTGGCCGAGATGGCGAAGTGGAGAATGATGGAGATAGGGATTATGGATGGGATTATAGAGGAAAATACTGGGATATAATGGGATTGTACAGGAAAACAACGGGATATAATAGATTATAGGATATGATGGGATTCTAATGACACAAGCCCGTGGATAAAACGAAATCGCGAGGAGCTTCACCTTGTAGGATGTGACTGGTGCAGGGTAGTGGAGGCTCCTAAGAAAACCATGAGATTTCGCAGCCATTTCTCTGGCAACTTCACAGGCCCAGATACATTCCTAATACCGGTAATTCATAGTTGCCGGGCAAATGACCATCCTATGATCTCGTCTATTGGTTTTGATCCATACGGTTAAAGCAAGCATTCGAGTTGGATGTCATGGACAATCCCAGGTATTTGAGGTGAACCCGCTTGGGCTTGGAGTCCATAACTCAGCAGTGTTCACCATTGATCAACCCTCCCGTGTCAAACGTGGCATGCTGGTAGATCCACTGTTGATGAACATGTTGTTTCAGCTATAGACTCTAGATCTATTTATAGCCCATGGGATCCATGTATGCTATATATGGTAACATGGATCCCATCAATATACCCCCAATGTTAGCATATATACCATACATGGATCCTATGGGTAGGGGATTTTCAATTGCCATGTTTGCTATTGGATTTTCAGCCCAGGACCATCCGAAATTCAATTGCCATGTTTGACTACCAAAGTGTATTGGAAATCTTCTTTCGGATGGTGCCTCTTAGCAACATCATTTTCCACCAAATTTCTGGCGAAGAAAACGCTCGAATCCTTCCGTTTGTTGGTGCATGTGTTGAAAGGCATCCATTTCTGGAGGTTTTTATTTACATGACGAAAACAACATAGTCTCCGGATAAATTACCAGATTTAAACAATTTGCCATGCAAAAAATTACCTTTTTTCTATTCCGTAAATCATCGAATTAGATGGACCATTTTCGACAATTTCGACAATATCTGGTTACCTCACATCATCATGGTTCGCGTGAACCTGCTGCACTATCAGGTTCAAATGTCTAAGAAGGAGTTCTGCCGGATTCTTTGCAGATATAGGCACCCCGCGAAGCGCTTGGTGATGTGTGCGAGGTGATGTAACTCAGGGGATAACTGAGCTGAAAATGCTGCGAAAATCATGGGATGGGTGGTGATAGTGGATTGGTCTTGATCAGGCACCATGGAATCCTGAAAAAACATCTGCTTCTGGGGTGTGGGCGTTGTAAATGTCTAAGTTAAGCCATGCACTAATGCACTGAAAAATCTAAAAACATGCGAGCGATTTTATGGATGTTGATGTTGGACCCAGTGTCTTCTACCTTGATTGTTTTCACAGTATTCTCAGTACCCTCTGGTAAACTAACATAACTATGGAAAATCACCATTTTTATACATTTTTATTGGGTAAATCCACTATGTCTATGGCAATTTTCACTAGCAAACTGTTTGTTGACCAGAGGGTATTGACTTCGATCCTTCAGAAACAAAATGAAAGGATCCAATGAACATTCCCAAGAACTGGGGAAGCATTTGGAGCTACCAGTTGTATTGGTCTCCCAATACGCACATGGTATTTGTTGGCATTGCTGTACCCTCTGGTAAACATACAAAAAGCTATTGAAAATGGCCATTTATAGTGAGTTTTCCCATCAAAAATTGTGATTTTCCATAGCTACATTAAATTACCAGAGGGTAACCACTGTAACATTACTGTAACGGTCAGTAATTGCTCAAAAAAATAGATTCAGCATGATAAAATCAAGATTTTCTAGCAGCATAAACAATTGGCAGATCCAGAATCATCAACACCAATATCAATTGACAATCGACAAGTGGCATCATGATGTTGACACATATGTTGTCAATTGACAATCACTCACACTTGACTATCTACCTAGACTCTAGACTCTCCGAATATCCAAAAAAATGTAAAAGTACTAGTTCAGAATGGAGAAAATTCTCAAGGTATTTTCAAGAGGATCCCAGGGTAGGATAGGCATCCCCTCCACGCAGGCACTACACCGAGGCAGGGGTGCCTGCGGAGGTATTGGCGCCCTATCATCGGCAGTGGTTGGAACATGCCGTTTCTGAGTTTGCGGGGCAGTGGGGCACTGTGGATGGATTTAACCATGCCAAAGGTGAGATATGGATAGATATGGATAGATATCAATTGATTTTACCAATAGTATGCCAATGCATACCTATATATATATAATATTGAGTTGCATCATGATTCAACAGAGTCAAGCAACATACAAGTGGGCCACCAGGGGCCACCCACTTATGAATTGGCATTATTTTCACATATTTTCACCTATCCAAGTCGAACTTTTTTACCACCATGGGACCGATCCGAATTACGGTAAACCCCTTTAGATGGGGATAGATGGGGATGAATCTGAAGTCCTTCAAAGCCCTTCAAAGCCCCTTGGGGTTCCGTTTTTCACAAGTTTGGGATTACAAACACTGACCTTGTTTGGTCCATTTTTTTTTGATCATTTTGATACGTGTTTGAAGACATCCTGGGATGTGAAAATGGCGTACCCTCTGGTAATTTATATAACATAGCTATGGAAAATCACAATTTTTAATGGGAAAATCCACTATAAATGGCCATTTTCAATAGCTATGTTAGTTTACCAGAGGGTACACCTTGGTTCCCAGACGTTGTTGTTTGGTGGACGTGTTCTTTAAATTCTTTTTGTGGGATGATCCGATCGCCGGATCGCACTGGATGGGCCAACCAGGGGACTTCACCATCTTCTTTGCCCAGCGTAGAGTCTACATAATTGATCCAATCTCACCTCCATGGAACAACGAACCCTGTGATTTTTATATAAGATATGTATATATATATATATGCATACATACATACATATATATATATATACATATATATATATATACTATGCGTGTGTTTGTCGATATTTTACACAACAAGGGACCAACTCTCGCACCCCGACAAATTAACCTAGTCCTGCTGTTAGGGTTGTTCGGTAAGGGTTGACTGCATCCCCTTGCGCTTCGAGGTTTTGCTCTTAGAATTCGAGAGCCTTGGTGGCACAGGCAGTGGCCTTTGGACCCCACTTATGGTGGTCCTCAATGCCGGCTACCCTTTGGTCATCAAACATGACAATGGGAAGTCCCCAATTTTTGTCAGGCAATTTTTGAGGCAATATAAACCCATATTATGTTTCCATGTGCAAATTTATTGAGGAATTTCAATTGTCATGTTTGATTGCCAGATCTGCAACTGTGTTTATCCTTTGCCTGGGAGAACGCCCCGCAGGGGCAAACCTGTGCAAGATTCCGTTCAGGACTTGTGGCTTGTTTTGGTAGCAGATTGGCCCAAAGTCACAATGGTGGATTGTTAGTGTCATGATATCATTGTGAAGATTTGTTGCACATGACCAAGACTCATAAGAGGTTTGTCAGTTTCCAGAGGGTGATTCTCGAAACCACTTTGCAGTTATATAAGTTATATGTTTTCAAAGACTGCAGAGTGAATCTGAGAGATATGATGAGTGGCTAATATCATTCAAGTGGCTTTGTCAGAGACCATCAGCGTGCATCATGTGCATTAACTCAGCATTGTCAGCTCGACGGGGGAAGAAGAAGATTCACCTCATATTAACCCTACACTAACCTATTCAATTCCAGTAATGAATAAAATAAACATTGTTAGTATATGGAGGTATCTTGAAATTCTTGAAATGGGTTTAGCTTTAAATCATCCATAAATTGTCACAGGATTTTCCATGAAATAAACCATCCAGCTATTGTGATCCTCCATTGAAGCCTCCTGGGCATCAGCCGTCCCAGGAACGCCTCCCGCTGGCCCATGCTTGGTCCAGAGGAACAGAACAAACTCATTGAGGAGTTGAGGCGAAATTTCCACGTCACACAACTGGTGCAACTGGGTACCCTCTGGTAATTTAACAGTTTGCTATTGAACATTGCCATAGAAATAGTGATTTTTACCATGACAAATGGTGGATCTTTCCATCGTTTTGTGTATGTTTACCAGGCCGGGTAAAACATGACCAAACCCTTCTGGATTGATGAGTCCATGATCGTGGCTTTCATCTTGCAACGCACAGCTTAGCAATTTGTCCGTTGCATGTTGCAACATCATCACCATCATCATCGTCATCGTCATCATCATCATCATCATCATCATCATCATCATCATCATCGTCAACATCATCGTCATCATCATCGTCAACATCATCGTCAACATCATCGTCAACATCATCGTCAACATCATCGTCATCATCATCGTCAACATCATCGTCAACATCATCGTCAACATCATCGTCAACATCATCAACCCCAACCCTAAACCCTAAAACCCTAAAACCCTAGAATCCTAATCCCTAAACGCCTTGAACATTCCCTTCAGTAAAAAGTTGAACAGGGGTGGGATTTTTGATGATTCCCTAGAAGCTCTAAACATCTTTAAGATTCCCTTGAATATAAAATTTAACGGGTGTTGGGATTTGATGATTCTCTAGAAACTCTTTTGAAACATCTTCAAGATTCATTTGAATCAATACCCTTTGAATCTCTAAAAAGTTGTGTGTGTGGTCGAAAGGGGGGGGTTGTGCGAATCATTGTTTTTGAGTCCCGATTTGCACACACACACATATATATATATATGTATATTTATTATATTATATATTGCGTGTGTGTGTAATTTGCTTTCTGACATAGTCCGATTTCTTTGTTGGTGATCAGTCCGCATGTTTTGCTGGTGATCATTGTTTATTTTCTGTCGGTCAAACCCCGTTGTTTTGTTTGAACCACCAGTCAGTTTTCTTGGTCAAAACCGTCCCACCGTCCTTTTTTGCTTCACCAGGGGATTCTGTTGGAAAAAGACCCAAAAACCGCAATTTTTTGTCCCAAACATTATTAGCAACTACACCATTTGAATTACTGTATATTTTTTTTAAGCATCATACCATGATGATTAACATCATATCATTAACCATTAACATCATTTTTCATCACAAGTCAAGAACCCAATCATGGTTTTTTAAGTTGTTTTTTTTGTGTGTGACAACGTTCCGGAAAAAACATCGCCAGGCATGAGATCCTGAAGGGCTACATCCGCGCGGCCAAGTCCTCCATGGTGAACTACGCGCTGTTGGACGATCGTTCGAAGAAGCGCTTGGACGTGCCCTTCATTCCCAGCCCGCCACCAGTGACGCGGCGGCCGTTTCGGGTGGGCTTTTTGGTTTTCGAATGGTGGGGTTGAAAGCAGCGTTTTTCACCAGAGAAAAATATGTGGATTAAAGCTAGGAAAAAAACACCATGATTTTAATGATTTAACGTGTGGATTGAGTCAATCATCAATGACAATCATGGTGTTTGGATGGTCATTGCCAGCTAGTAATAGTGCTCAATAACCTTGTTAATTACTAAGTCCCTTGAGTGGGGTATGCCACGACCAGATGATTTATTCCATGGTGACCCCTGACCGGGAGCACATCCCTTTTTGGGTGTTTCAGCAAGTGCGGATGGCTTGACCCAGATACCGTCACGCAGAGTTGGCTGGTGATCAGTGCTCCTCCATAAACATCTGGGTATTGGCCTACCAAAATGGGGGGTTCCAAGCAGAATACGCCGTAGAATTGCTGGGATCTTTGGGTGACTTTGGGCGCAGATGCTTATCTGGACGGTGGTTTGGAACATTTGGATTATTTTTCCATATATTGGGAATGTCATCGTCCCAACTGACGAGCATTTTTTTCAGAGGGGTAGGTCAACCACCAACCAGATATGTTCTGGAAAAAATCGCTGAGCATTTTTTTAAGGCCTTAGACGTGACATAGATCCAGTACCATTCAGGACCTCTGATTTAAGGGACCTGAAATCTTCCCAGAGCACAGCAAGGGACTCAGCCACCGGCAATCCCCTCCATCCCAAACTCAGCAGCCATGTTGATGTAATTAATATTCCATGCAGACTGTAGATGATCAAAATTTTGATACATGTGTAACAAACATCCCCAAGAGGCTTTCTTTATGGTTTCATGTGAAACAACGGGACATGTGGTTCACCATCAGCCTCTGGCAGGTTTGGGGCGACTTGGTTTTTGAGGTGCCCGACATTGGTACCCCCGGAGGAGGGCTAGTCCGGACGACTTTTCCAGTGCTGTCCTTTGGTGCAAGGGGATTCCAGCCATTGATTGGCAATTCAATTGATTATTGATTGACATTCCTGCATGTGATTGAGAATAGATCACTTTGCAATGAGTGGTGATCATAAATGGGAATTGTCACTGTTGCTATCAATAACTTACATGTCTATACATTTATTTTGTGAAAAGGGGCCTCCAGGATGTATGTACTGGGTAAATATTTCGTCAAAAGATCATTGCTTTTTTGAGCGACAAAACAAATTCATTACATTACAGTATATAAAGGAGTTCACATTGATACATTGTTGTGCTAGAAATTTCTTGTCATTGATGGTATGTTTATCTCTACATTGATGGCATATATCAGATGAGTTTTGCTAAACATTGTCTAGTTTTCCCCCAAAAATGGTGCAACATTTGCAGGAGACCCATGGGGACCCGGCAGTTTTGAGCGGTAAACTTCCGCCAAGTGTGAAGCGCAACATGTCCAGGACCTCCGCAGCAATGGAGAGCGGGTTTGCAGCAGGCGCGAACATCCTTAGCCAATCGACACGTGCAGATTCTTGGAGCCGTCAGGGGTTGAAAGCGCTAACGGCTTGGAAAGGGTGAATGGAGAGATTTGGGAACTTGGAGCTTCAGATGACTCATGTTCCATCTGAAGTGAAGCATGCATGCTCATGAATTGAGAGATATGTTTGAGAAAAGTAATCATGCAATGATATGCAATGAATGTGTATGCTTGTTTTGTTTTGTCACTGTTTTGATCAGGTAAGTCAAGGTAAGTCGGTAAGTCCCAGAGATTTTCTTTGGATCAATCCCGATGTATCACCCCAAAATGGTCGCCGTTAAATTGAGGTACTGCACCATATCAGTCCATATCTGGTTGGTGGTTTGGAACATTTGGATTATTTTTTCCATATGTTGGGAATGTCATCATCCCAACTGACTAATTTTTTTCAGAGGGGTAGGTCAACCACCAACCATATATGTTCTGGAAAAAATCGCTGAACATTTTTTTAAGGCCTTAGACCTGACATAGATCCAGTACCATTCAGGACCTCTGATTTAAGGGACCTGAAATCTTCCCAGAGCACAGCAAGGAACTCAGCCACCGCGCTACGCCTCGTGGACTTTTGGTTGAAGGAATGCCAGGCACTGTGGGATCGTGTCATGGATTGGTGTGTTGATGAATCACTCCAAAAGTTGCAGGGCTAACTACAGGGCTGGGGGGATTCAAACGGCCCAACAAAAAAAGGTAGAGATTTGAATCCTAAGTTTGGGGTTGAAAAGGAATTAAGGAACGATGCTGATCTGATATGGGTTCGTCCAAAAATGTGGATTTCGGTGCACCTTATTTTCAGAGGGGATTCCATACATGTTATGGGCAACGTTTGGCACCGGTAGAAACACCATGGTTTCTACCATTTCTAACATTCAGAAAAGGGCATTTTGGCAGTTTCCGCAAAAAGCTCACTTTAAACACTGAATCCGTAGAAGTCCGGGAAATCAGAACAACTTGGCAAAATCGCCATGTCCCACGAGCGCGAGCGCGAGCGCTTGGTTGCAGGAAGTGCGATTGGTGAATCTGCCTGGACGCCACGCGGACTTCTGCGACATCAAAACCTTCTTTGCTGCACAAAGTTCCCAGCGGCGGCAAAAGGGGATCCCTGGAAGATGGTGATTCCACCATTGAAAAAGATCTGTTCAGATAAAACCCTCTGATAAACATACAATCATAGCTATTGAAAATGGCCATGTATAGTGGATTTTCCCATTGAAAATGGTGATTTTCCATAGTTTTTTGTATTTTTACCAGAGGGTATACCATAACTCATTTCTATTTTGTTCAGAAATATGACTCGTCTCTTTAAGATCCACCACACATTGAAGTTCTTGAGCAACAAGAAAACTAAAGAACAGTGAAAAAAAAGGCTTGCAACCCGGCTCAACATATGATTTGGGATGGTATAAATTTAACAGCTCTTGCTTATCCAGTGATGTTAATTTGTTTATGGCCCCATCAACTATGATATTATATATATATATGTAAATAAAATAAATATATGTATATATATATATACACCATAATAGTGCTTGACCTACTGAACGAAATCAACCTAGCTAATGATTTCGATGACATGCGGGCTAGTCAGGGAACATCAGCCTGTTTTGCGATGATTAGGCAACCAACAAGGTGAGACCTGTGCTCCTGTGCTGTAGAAACACCGGTGCAGTCATGGCAGCTGTTAAGAACCATTGTGTATTGAAAATGGACACTCTCCGGTAAACTTTAACCGTTTGCTATGGTATAGATGGCCCATAGAAATAAATCGTTTTCCTGTTAAACATGGGGATGTCCCACAGCTACGTTAAATTTGAAGAGGCTATGATTTTTTTCTATCTGCCATTCTATGCTGCGTTCAAACCCCTTTTCGCTGCTAATTTAGCATGTTTAGAATATAGTATATAATGAGTTCTGGTTGGTGGTTTCAAACATTTGGATTATTGTTCCATATACTGGGAATGTCATCATCCCAACTGACGAATCACTGACGAACTCATATTTTTCAGAGGGGTAGGTTCAAACCACCAACCAGGTTGCTGTACAGCCCATGATTTATCAATGATATGCATCCATCACTGTGGGATTCGTCTCACTCAACTGCGGCCACGTTTAGTTTGCTTCTCGTTTGCAACTACTCTGGGTCACATCTAGTGTTAATCAATACTTGCATATGTTTTCTTTATTCTGACCATCTTTGCAGTGCCGGGATCATATAAAATACATTAAATGTTCCCATCAGTTTCCCGATTTCATAGATTTTTAGTACAGAACTTAGTACATATTTCTGGGATTTTATGGGTAAACCATGGGTAAACCATGGGTAAACCATGGGTAAACCATGGTGATCCAAGGCTCGATGAGGGAGATGGGCCTGCAGGAACTCTCCAACAACTGGCAGCAGGCGATGGAAACGAGCAGAGTTCGGAGCGCTGTTTTTGTAGTGGTTGGTAGTGGTTAATACTAGTGATTAATAATGGTGATAGTAGTGGTGAAGATAGTGGGTAATACTAGTGGTTAGTTAGTTGTTAGTAGTGGTTAATATATAGTGTTTAATTAGTGTTTATAGTAGTGGTGAACATAGTGGTTAGTAGGTGTTCTAATGGTTAATGATGGTTAGTAGTGGCCAATACTAGATAGCGGCTAATAGTGGTTATAGTAGGTGTTTAAATGGTTAATAGTGGTTAACACTGGTATTACTGTGGTGGTACTCTGGTGGTTAATTAGTGAGTGGTGAAAATAGCGGTAGTAGGTTTTTCAATGGTCAATTAGTGGTGGATAGTGGTCAATAATGGTTAATTGTAGTGGTTATTTACTTAGTGGTGATTAGTGGTGATTAGTGGAATTGACCCTTCGGTGATCCCCTTGATGCTGCGGCCTGAAAAAAGGGGTTGCATCATTTGGGACCATTGAACTGTCATTTCTGCGGATGGCTGTGTTTCATTGTGTTTCTGGTTGCAAACCGGGAATTTCAGCACGAGGTGGATTCAAAATTGTCACGGTTGGATCACAACTTTTTATGTCTTCGTGGCTTCAAGGTTTTTTCCTAAGTTATATCATGATATCCAGATATATCCAGCGTCAAGTGAATTTCGTGTGAAACTTGTGGTCTTCCCCCAATACCCTGACTTTTATTGGTTACTGTATCATCTTCTGTTTCAAGCATTGCATATTTCAATCATGGTCAAACCAACAAATAGGATGTTTGGGACCGCCTGAGCCCCCAGCAAGCAGAAAGCTTCAACAGGCTTGGCCTTTCTTTACCCAAATGCTTCCAAATGCTTCATGTTTGCCGGCATTATATACAACTCTGTGATACTGTGTGTGTGAGTGTGTGACCACAATGTATGGAACCAATCCAAAGTGCCTAACAACAGCGAAGACAAGGGATCATGTCTTGAACCTCCAGTCATAGCTTATTTGCATTAAAGTGATACCTTCGGGGTATACCCAACAGTTGTTGGACTGATGTCCATACCCCTTCTTTTATCACAGAAAAATTATGTTCATTGAATCATTGAGTGATTCAAGTTTGATATGTTGATCCAGAGCCGCTCTGGGAGAGGTTCAAAGTCTTTGTGCAAAGTAGATTTAGATCCCTAAGGGTAGACTTCTTTGAACTAGCCTTTACCGCGGGATGTTTGCCACGAAAACGAGATGATTTGATATGATCTGATTTGCACATTGCAATCATAAAAGCCTCACGCTGATTTCTTGCAGACGCGAAGGGGAGAGAGTGAGAGAGAGATTGAAATCATTAAAGTGTCAAAGATTCGGACCATTTCGGTTTCCCAATTATAGCCCTTCACAATCTTAACAGTCATATAGCTTGCTATATCTTGCTATTATGTTCACAATCTTCACAATCTTCACATCTTCGGTTCCATCATGTTCCATTTAAATCATATATTACCTCTTAGTTGCATGGCACTGCTGCGTGGCCGTTGATACTTTGAGGTGATTCAGATCGTCTCAGAAGAGCCGCAGTACCTGTTGAAGGACATGACGCATTTGAGCTACGGTAATGGGCTGGTTTTACCATGGTTTAATAAACCAGCCATGACTGGGAATGGTATATATATATATATGTTTATATCAAATTTATACCACCTATAACAATAATGAAATTATAGTTGGTATATGTTTTAATCCACCATTAAAAACCACCTATTCTGGTTGGTGGTTGGGAACATTTTTTTCCCATATGTATAATATAATATAAATATTGGGAGATTGATTCATCATCCCAACTGACTTTAACTCCATCATTTTTCAGAGGGGTAGGTTGAAACCACCAACCAGTCATTATGAACCATCATTAATCATCATTAACCATCATTAAATCATCATTAATCACAATTAATCAATGTATAGTTAAATCAACATTAAATCACCATTAAATCACCATTAAATCACCATTAAATCACCACCAACATACTATGGGGCTGGTTTATTGTTTTACCAACATTAAACATTGCCCATGAAATTCTCAGTAGATCCGTCTCGGTCATCCCCCGGGATGAAGCCTGCGAAGCCTTGAGGTCCTTCTTTCAAACCGTTCTATCTGATTTTAAGACTCCCCAAAAAGGATAGAAAAGTAACATCTATGGTCTATAATCTATAATTTTCTATAATCATAGTCATTTTATGTCAGAATTTTAACCTGTTCTGCATCTGTTTGGGGCTAAGACCCTCAAGTTGAATGGTTGATCCGCATTTATCATGTCAAAAAATCCCTACATTGGGGGGCATACCCCATTTTCAGTCCAAAAAAATAACCACAAGTCATATAAAGCTCGTGATTAATCAGGATTTATGAATATATTAGCTGATTATTAGCTAGTTCATTCCAAGAAGAATCCTATGGTCTATCAAAGGTAAACCTCAGTTTTTTCTTGGTTTTCCCATTCCTTTCCCACCAGAGTTGAACGCCAGGCATGTCCGTCCGGTCACGCCGTTCCGCAACCGTTACGGCTCGCGGTGAAAAAGGTGGACGGTGACGCGACGGCGGGAGGTGTGAAAAATCGACGCCATGGCGCTCAGTTACTGGGGAGAGGTGGATGCCATGCATCAGCCACTCAGCAAACGAATGGCTGACAGCTGATCAATGGGGATACAATGGAAATACGAAAAATCTCACAGACGCACATAATTAATTATGTATATATACGTGTATATATATATATATGTATATATATATATTATATAGTATAGGGGATTTTGATGTATGATATGCATATATTATATCATTTATATATAGTTGTATTTATTTTCTATGTTTAAGTGATGTATTTAGTTATACCAGTGGCTTTGGAGCTGACTTTGAATCATGAGGATGTCTATTTACACACGCACAATGTGCAGTCAATCATGTTTTTTTGGTATAGGATACCCATGGGCTCGCAATGTAATCATGGTATTTTTATTGGGGCATGGGCCATGTTTGGAGTTTGGAGTTTGGGGTAACTCTTGGTTTTTCTATGGGGCATGGATTCATGGAGCAAATGGCCATTTGGGCTAACCGTGGGCTCTGGGAAGCATTTTGAATGTGGGGATATGTGGGGTGATCATCGAACGGGCCATGGGCCATGGCTTCCAGTTCGCGAACTGTTCCACCGGGTTCGTGTTTGGTATCATCTCATGTAGAGACTTCGTAACCCTGGTGAGTAAATCCCCTATCATGGGCTATCCCATGCCATCCCACATATAAATGGCTCAAAAAAATATGCAAAAACTAACCTACAAGTCGTGGGATGATCCTCCAAGTAAGCCATATATGGTTCAAACATGTTTTCAAACATGTTAAAACCCATCATGTGTAGATCATTTTCCTAGGAAAACCATGGGCTCTTTATGGGCCCCAGGTTCTGCGAAGCCAAGTACGAGGTGAGCCCATGGTTGGCCGAGCACTTTGGCACAGGTGGACCAAACACCCAGAGGTTGTTATATATGATATATATGGCTGTGGGTGAAAATAGGGTAACACCAATTATAGCAATTTAATAGGGAAACTGATCATTAACCATTGGGTGTAGGCACACAACATGTTCAGACAAACCCATATGTATATAGTATTTTGACAGTACCATTATAACAGTACCATTGACCATTGCTATTATGACAGTACCATAATGCCATATATAAAGGGTCTGGTAAACTGTCACAAAAAAACTATGGAAAGATCCACCATTTTTCATGGGTAAATCAACTACTTCTACATTTTCAATAGCTATGTTAAATTACCAGAGGGTAAATGACATCGGCACTTTTCCATGTCACATTACCGCAGGGGACTTGTTAGTTTGTTTATGGGTGTCTAAATTTCTAAATAGTGAGTACTGTGTATATATAATATGGTTGGTGGTTTGGAACATTTTTTATTTTTCATATATTTGGGAATAATAACCCCAACTGACTAATATTTTTCAGAGGGGTTGAAACCACCAACCAGATATAATATATATATATGCATGTTTCTATATGCATGTTTTTAAAACCTCTCATCCATCTCCCAGCCATCTTAGATGTTTACTTAACCCCCATGCAGATCCCATCGAAATTTAACAGACACATCTTCAGTTGGCTCCAAAATTGCTACAAGACATTCTGGTTGGTGGTTTGGAACATTTTTTATTTTTCCATATACTGTATTGGGAACAATAGTACCATTTGACTAATATTTTTCAGAGGGGTTGAAACCACCAACCAGCATTAGCTTCAGTTGTTTTGCAGCCCTTCAAAAAATTTAACATGACACACGTATGATTTTATACTGCTGAATGGTTCTCACTGGATATTGCCCTTCTTGGTTCCATGTTACCTTTTGGTTCTTAAACATGGTGAGATCAGTTTCCCACATGGGAAATGGCCATTTGCAGTGAATTTGCCAATTAAGAATAAAAGATGGTAATTGTCCATAGCTATGTCAGTTTACCAGAGGGTAAGCAAACATGGCGTGCTGGAAAATCCTCCATTTACTTCGATATTTTTCCCATGTCCAAAGCTCCGTTTAGCTGCCAGGGATTTCCCAGCTACGTGTGATTCTACGAGAAGGTCAGCAACTCAATGGGAATTTCAAGATCCTAAAATGGAGGTACGTTAGTACCATTTTTCAGGCCATATTTTGTGGGGATATTCCCTGAAATTTAGGCCTCAAAAATAGGCCAAGAATATATGGTAGGTACCTCCAATAAATCGGTTCCTGAAATTCCCATTGAGCAACTAATTATCTCCCAGATCTCCCCGATCTCCCAGATCTCCCAGATCTCCCAGGTTTTGGAATGCCACCAGCAACATCCCGTTCTTCATGCTCCCAGCTCTCTACTGCTTGTACCGTAGCTATGGAGTCTACGACCTGCGCGTGCAGATGATTTGGATCAGTTCCTTGGCGGAGGATCATGGAGAATCATCCGAGCTGGCCTCATGGCCTGAGATGTGGTGAGTGTTTCTGGGGATGTGGTGAGATGCATTCATAAATATGATAATCCACTGGGGACTTGCGATCACCAGGATGACGGAGTCTCCACCTAACTCATAAAATCCTTCAAGTATGGAAGTGAAAAAGTCTCATAAATCTTTGGGGAATACCCAAGTTTTTTTCAAGTGGATATGACTTGATATGGCCAAGTTGAATGATCACTAGTGCACTACTGCTCGGTGGTTCAAGACTTCAATTTAAGTACGAGAGGCTAGACCTTGGTTTGATAGATTCATGGGCCGATTTCTCTATGCTTTTGGAGGAATGTGTTTAAGGTATCTATCCAGCGTTTTATTATTTATGTATAAAACATTATAAAACAATATTAGATATTGAATATTTCATTTATATTTGCTGGTTGGTGGTTTCAAACATGTTTTATTTTCCATGATATATGAGTTGTCATCCTTACCATTGACGAACTCATATTTGTAGATTGGCTACACCGAGAGATACCGCTCCGACTCTGCAGCGACACATGCAGAGTGAACATGGCCATCGATTTTTTAGACCTGCAGAAAATAATTCCAGAATAAATAAATCCAAACTGGTTGGTGGTTTTAACCATCTTGAAAAATCCCTGTGAAATAGTTAAATCCTACAGTGAAATAGTGATCGTGGGAAAATCCTTGCGTTGTCTATCTTGTTGTTGCGCTTAGTTATATATATATATGCTCTGACGTTTTAAATTCATTCAATGAAAGGTATTCCCAGCTCTTCAATCCAGCACTATGCAACACTTAGCTAGTTATTCATACCAAATTTTGCAAACTTCGAATGCCATTCCTATGACGCTTACTTGGGGTTTCAGTTGGGGTTGTGAATGGGTATGTCCATGGTAATAACCTCCATAAGTTGGGATATGACCCCAGTATCTATATGGATATGAGCCACTTGTAGCAGCCACCAAAAAAGATGGAACAGTTATTTACCCTCATTTACCACTTCTTTCATTGGATTTAACTTACAGTGGTTATCTTCAATTTGGGGGTCGACTTAGCTCAGTTCACCACCCAGGCATGTTTGTGGTGGGCTTTGGTAGCTTCATGTTCCACGGCACCATGTGCTTTCGATGGGAAATGTGGGATGAAGTACCAATGTTCCTTGGCGACCGGAGGGGCCAAGGGAAGCCAATGGGGTCATGGAGGGGTTGTTGAAATACCCCCGTCGTGATGGTGTTTAAACTAATGATGCAATTTCATGTTGTTTTGAATTTGACGATTTATGGGATTTATCCCTCTGATGATTTAATGTAGCGAACTGGAATTTTTAACCATGTTAAGGGAAATATAGGGAAATCATCCCAAATGGCCTTACTTCAGGTCATTCAGGTTATATATAGTCCCCTCGATTTGCTGTTGATCATTTGGGGCGACGATTTAGCAGATGACCACTCTTGTTTGACGGGGTATCCCGTAATTAGTCAACCAGGGTTTATCAATCCGGGGTTGGCATTAAGAGTGATTAAAACCTAACTAAAAATGTGGTTATATAGTAAGTACCTTTTTCAAAGTGGCGGTACCAGTTGGATTTGTTTCGAAAAGAAGGTGCACCCCCCCACAAGTTTCGAACATCACATCACTCCATTTTCGCCAAGCTTGTCCGAGTAGGAAAGGTATCCAAAAAATGCAGTGAGGCACTGCACTGAAACACGTAATTTCTGGTAGTTCTTTGTCATTTTGGGTATTTATGTCCAGGAATAGATGCTTATGAATTCTCTACAGCTGCAGTTGCAGTGTGGTAAGCAAACCTGGCAATGGTGGTATACGGTCTACCCTGCAGTAAACTAACATAGATATGGAAAACCCATGGTTTCCCGGTTTCCCTGTGAGAATGATCTAGAAACACATCTATGTTAGTTTACTGGAGGGTAACTAATAAACGCACTTACATAGAAGTCATAGGTGAAACATATATATACTTGTATATATATATATATATTTAGAGCATATAATTAAAAAAAAAATATGTACATATATATGTATATATACACTTATATGGATCCGTATATTTCCAGGGGACAAACAACCGCCCAAATCATACGGCAGCCATACTTCAGAAGGTACGGCCGGGTAGGGATAGGTGGAAGCAGGTACATATCCATGGAAAATACAATTTTAATTTTAATTAAGATGTAAATAACGAACTAGATGGCAATGTGTTTATCAATTTTCCATAGCACACTGTGAAATTACCAGAGGGTACGTCCATGTTTTCCCATAAAGGGATTTGTCATCAATCCATTAATCCAGGATTCCCATGAAATGTGACGGATGACCATAAACAATGTATCATGTTGGTTCTATAGGTGTGAATCATTATGTTCCAATAACAGTTTCCGATATATATATATATACAATGCGGAGCCCCCTAGTTTTAAGTTGGTTTATAAACCCTTCTAACTATGCTTATAACTAGCATAAATCCTAGTAATTGCGGTTATCAACAAACTTAGCTATTTTGGAGGTCCCACATTGTATGTATGTATATATATATATACATATGGGTATGGGTCAAAATTAGATACCCCTAAAACTAGATGATTAATACTATACTCACACTACAATCTGCGGTTTTCTGGGTCCTTTAATTTCGACCCATGGCCATATATATATATATATATCCCATAAGAATATCCCAGATAAGTTCCCAGCTCACTGAAAAACCATGACACCAGCCATTCCAAACAGCGATTCCAGGTTCCTCCTGGTGCTCTCAGCCATGATCTCCAAAGATGACTCCCACTGGATCACCACTGGGAACTTTGCCAAAAAACCTGCGGAAAACAATGGGGATTTTCCCTCTAAACTATACCCTCTGGTAAACTAACATAGCTATTGAAAATGGCCAGAGAGATAGTGAGTTTTCCCATTAAAAATGGTGATTTTCCATAGCTATGTTAAATTACCAGAGGGTAACAGTTTGATAGTTTGCGAAGTGGAAAATCACCACTTTTTGTTCTTCGGTAAATCAACGAAGTCAATGGTCCATGATAGTTTTTTGTATCTTTACCACAGGGTATCATGTAGAAACTTTAATGGATTGGTTTAAGGGAACAACTACCGGAGCAAAATGCCATACTTCATAGGAAAATCAATGGTTTCCGGTTAAGATTTTCCCGCCAATCCATTGAGAAGTGGATTTAAATGTTGTTTCAGTCAGCAAGTTGTGATATGTGTCGTAAGATGATGTCAGGTCTTTGAGTTGAGTCGCTGTTAGCAAAAAGGGTCTGACATGTTGTTTAGTCTAAAGTGGCTTTCTGGCATTCAAACTCTTGCCGTAACATCCTGACTGATTTTTGATCGGCAAAATGTAGGGAAAAAAAGAGCTGCTCAACAGCCAGGCTGAAAGTCAAATGTCAAAGTCACCGTGTGTGGTTTCTTCGCTTTTTTCTGGTTGATTTTTACCATGACATACTTGGTGGTAAATCACGATTTTAAGACCCAACTATCCCAACTGGCCCACTGAGAATCCTCAGGGATTTCCAGATATCTCAAAGAAGTGGCAGGTTTGTTCAGCGGTTTTCAGCTGAGGATCTACAAACGCTTGATTCACCTTGCAGGCTTTGGATCTGCCATCATTGGCATGGGTCGCCCGACAAGTTAGCAGCTAATCCTCATATATTTTAAGGGCAGTTTTCATAGGGCAATATCATGCAATATCTTCATGAACATCAAGCAATGAAAATGTTGATAAACCATGGGATACAAAAAATATAAGTGTAATTTTGTGGAACCTCCAATTTTGGAGAAACACAATTCAAGTAGAATGGTGAAATTTGTTGTGTTTTTTTTTTGAAGGGCTTGGGGGGTCTATCGGGGATCCACCGATCGGAGTCTATCGTTGAAGGGACGGTGAAATCTGGAGAAAAAAATAGATTCCTCTCCTGGAGATGTGTATCTGGAGAAATGATGCTTACCATCTGGTTATTTCTTACATAGCCATGGTTTTTCGATGGCCCATAGAAATAGATGGTTTACCTATTAATAGCATGGTGATTTTCCATGGCTATGTTGAATAACCAGATGGTAAAGATTCTATGATCTTTGAATTTAAGCCAATACTCAAATTTACTTCTCGGAGTCCAATCCTCTTCAAAAAACGCGACCTTTTTTTTGCGGGGGAGGATTGTTCAATCATATTTCCCCATATGTATTTGTATCTATATATATAATATGTAATATATATATATATTATGTATTGATTTATTATTATTTTTTATATTTACACAAGTAAACAGATTTACTTCCTTCAATGTCTTCCTTTTATTTCTTAGACTGAGTCTATGTCTAGCCATGAGTCGTCCAGTTCAGCCACCGAGGAATGTATCTTCTCAAGACCGGGCCAAGGGTGGACGGGTGGTAATCTCTGGGATGGGTATATAATCCCATCACCCCATTTCTATGGTCCCAATGGAATGTGGAATTTATCCGACTGAACCATTTTTGTTTCGTTTAAAAAAAACGTTTTTTTCGGTGTGCGTGCAAAATATGAATGGGGGATTATGTAGGTTATTTTGTCGTGATTTTTGGATATTTCTCCAAAACATGTGTTTGTAAAATGTGCATTCCAAGAGTTTCTGAATCGCGGCTTGCGATTTTTTACTTGGTGGGTTGAACAGGTCATTGTTGGGTTTTTTGAGTGAACATCAATCAACCTACCCGGCCTAGTAAACATACAAAAAACTGATGGGAAAGATCCACCATGCTATTAATGGGGATTCATCCACTATGTCTATATATGGCAATTTTCAATAGCTTTTTGTATGTTTACCAGAGGGTAATACCAACCTATACTTGTTGATTTTGCTCTTCATCCCCAGCAGTTGCTGCTTGATGGATTTCTTAAGTGCAAAAAAGGTGTCACCTGCACATAAATTGCACAACGTGGTACCTCAGTTTGTTTGCTAAGTTGTTTTACAGAGGTTTATAGCTCATAACTGTAGTTTTTAATGTTCATGGTAGATATATCAGATATATCTGTGGATTCTATAGTTGGTGGGCTTAATAAACCATTCTTAAGCAACCACCATCAGGGAGCACCACCGCTATAGCCTGATCTGGGGATAGTCTGAACTAACCCACAGGGAACCCATCAACCGAGATGGGATACATTGGGCTATCAAACATAAGGGCTATGTATGGGAATTGTATGGCTATGAGATGATCACTCCTCCTACTTGTATTCTTCTTGGGTACCCTCTGGTAAACTAACACTTTGCCATGGAAAATCACCATCTTAATGGCTAAATCAACGAACTCAATTGCCATGTTCAATGGCTATGATTGTATGTTTACCAAAGGCCTTTCTTAATGGCATTTCTGGCCCAATAACTTTAACAGCTCACTGAGAGTTGAATCATCCCAGATTTCCCATGATTTTCCCATCATTTTTGCAGGAATGATTATGAGATGTTCGTGCACTCCTTCACGATTGTCGTCCTTCTGGACTTGGTCCTCAGCTTCCCGGCTTGTCCCGGTGACGCCTGGTAGGTACCCGGCCTGGTAAACATAGAAAATGCTATTGAACATGGCCATAGAAATAGTTGATTTACCAATTAAAATGGTGATGTTCCATAGTTTTTTGTATGTTTACCAGAGGGTATTTAATACATGTGTTACATATGGTCATAGGTCAAAACCCTGGTAGTGCCCTTAAATAGCTGATTAATTAATGTTTATTTCCCCAGTATTTGGGGGAACAATAGGCTTCCATCCCATGTGGTTTTGTCTCAAAATGGGTCCCCAAAAATCATCATTTTTCCTATGGCAAGTGCAATTTTTGGGTATACGACCTTTTCAGATAGACCCATATATTTTCATATGCTACATGTATAGCAGCTATATCACTTGCATAGGTTCATTTGTTTTGGGGCACCATGAATTTGACATGATATACGTATAATTGCTTGGCTTTGTAGTTACATACTGATACTCCTACTCTGTCCCTCCGTTTCCATTGGGTGATGTGCAGGAACCTCGCATTTTTTTCATGGTCAAAAGAGCCAAATTTCCCTCAAATCCAAGTCGTGCCGTGCGCAACTGAGAGGCTATATTTGCACCCAATCACCTGACAAACACGGTTCCCACATTTCAAGTGGTCTCCTTATGGGCTGCTTGGCCCGATCAGTGGGACGTGTCGTGCCCAAGGAGGATGCCCAAATTTCCATTGCTCACCATTATTATTTTACATAGTTGCGCCCAGTTCAATTGGAACTTTAGGGCAAACTTTAGGGTGTATCCTTTCTTTTGGAAAAAATGCATGGCTCCATGGGAAGATGGCGTTGTATTCCATGAAGAAGAGATGAAGAGGGGACAGTGCCCTAAGTTCCTGTCCACCCCTTTGTCTTAAGATCAGCCCTCGTTATGTCTTCGGCTCAGAGATCCAGTTTTATCTGGTTGGTGGTTTGAAACATTTTTCATTTTTCCATATATTGGGAATAATACTCCCATTTGACTAATATTTTTCAGAGGGGTAGGTCAACCACCAACCAGTTATGTCTGTCCATATCTTTCCCAATGTTTCCAATCCAAATCGCTACCTTTCAACGACGCAGCAACGGCGCCGCAACGGCGCCGTCAAATGATGGGTCCGGGACGCGGGCCCCAAGGACTTAAACATTAGGGCCCCATGGATTTCAGGAAGAAGCACCAAAGTGGGATTTTACCAAGGGAACGCGGGATCTCAACTCAAATCCAATTTCAACTCGTCCCAGTTGCTCACAGGTTACGCTGCTTCCATTGGTTCCGGGCGGCCCCTTGGCGTTTTTTCGACATCTCGGCGATCTCGGCCGTTTGCAGACCTTGTTTGCTTTTGTTTTTGGAGTATGTCTTGATCCATGTTTGCAGAATCTGAAAACTTTGGAGAGGACTCCTGAAGATATAAAACTCAAACTAATAAAAATTGAAGATTATTTTTGGGCTTTGGGTTTGAACATGTTTGAACATGGGCCCGGAAGTGGTTTGGTGGTGTAGGTGAATGGTGAAGGGCTCAACTCGGGCCTCAACTCGGGGTAGTTTGCACAAAATGTTCAACAGTCAGGTTTGGCATGTTGTTTTCTATGCCTGAAATCAGTGCCTAATATTTACTGCAGGGCAGGAGTATGCAGGAGTCTTCATCTCCTTTGAGATGTTGGATGAATTTGATCATGACCGAAACCGTCGTGACGGAAAACAACCGTTTATGATGGTTTATTTCTGAGGAATCATTCCAAATGTCAGTATGACAACAGCTATTTTCATCTATTGTCGGGTTTTTAAAGCATTTGTTAATTCAGCCAGATTCGCGGTAGTTTCAAGCAATTACGTCCCCCTAATATTCAAAACCACCCCAGAAGCCCCGGGATTCGTTCTGGCTTTGGTTGACCTCCCCCCCAGGACCCCAGGATTGTTTGAACAGAATCACCTTGTTGCTACGCAATCTAGTATATAGTATATAATATACGTATATTATATATATGTAATTATATATGCAATTATAAATACATAGCAACCCCAAAAAGATAGAAGTATCATAGAAGTTGCTAAACATCCTTAAAATTTCATGGTGAAATCGTGAGTCGAATGACTTTTTTTCCGAGGATCTTTTGGGAGATCGAACGGTTAACCTGCGAACCCGGTCAGGGTGGCCCCACAGAGCCTTGGCGAAACTGGCCCTTCACAATCCCATGACGGATCCATGGTGCTGGTATATATACTAACATAAAGGGGGTATATTGATGGGAAATTTTACCATATATAGCATACATGGATCCTATGGGAATAACCGCAACAAGGATTATTTTTTGTGGACCATGATGCAATCAGATAGATTCTCATGATAAAAGTTCCAGGCTCCAAAATAAACTAGCCTCCGGAAATTTGAGTTTCATGGCTTGCTGGAAAATCCACCATTTATAATTCATATTCATTTAATTATTGGATTTTACCAGTAAAACCAAGCCATCAATGGATAGATTCCCAATTTTAGTGAAATGAATATGATCCATAAATGGTTTTTAGGTTTCCCCAACTTTTCACATTAAAACCTCCATTGATAGATCATTTTCCCACTCACGCACCATTTAAAAGAAGATTTGCAATTGCCATGCTTGATGACACCAGAGGGTATCAGCTTCAGAGATCCCCAAAAGGTCTTCCATGTCCTCAATTTTTTGAGCCACGGGCATTTTTCATGGACACATCACTCAAACATCAGTGGGAAAGTGTCCATATAATGTGGCAATGTGATGCAAGAAATGCTGCGTTTGAATATGAAAACATATGAAACCATCTACAGTACAATGTGGGCCCCCTAGATAGCTAAGTTGGTTTATACCTCCAATAACTATGGTTTATCATACTTATGCACTTATAACTATAGTTTAAGGGGTTTATAAACCATCTTATAACTGGGGGGCCCCACCCACATTGTACAAATGGCTCATGTTGCATCGTCGAGGGCACTTCGGCTTGCATCCCAGGAATCGTAACTTGAGGAAACCAATGCAAGACATGAAGATATTGATATCCCGTATATCATTGGTGTAAACCGTGGCTATGAACCACTTACTGACAGTAGCTATACCACGTTATACCCAAGTTATATCAAGTCCCGAAATTATGTTCATCTCCATTCTCACATGATATATATATATATATATATACAGTAACTATATTACACACAAACGTACGAATATATGTATATGTATATTATATATATAATTGCAATCTACCTTCCAGTAATCTGGTAAATAAACATAGACCAAGCCAAATAAAGGTTTGGAAGATGAATTTCCACTGAACAAATTAGCATGTTCATCCATTTTCGGTATGTTCATGTTGATTTTTCCAGTGGACATGTTGTTTTTTGTTAATATTAAAACATCAGTTATTATTTACACTATGAAGGCTATAAGATTCACAGAGATGGAGAGCTGGTTTTAAACACGTACGACCAAGGCCTTGCTCCACGTGCTGTGGCACTTCCTGGCAGGGCTGGCCGTGTACTTTGGTTCGCTGAGCGACGCACAAGTCCGTGCTACGGCGGCGCTGGAATTTCTGGGTAGTTTTGGCACCCTGAAATCCACATCTACCCAGAAATGGTTGGTGGTTAATGATGGTTAATGATGGTTAATGATGTTGGTTAATGGTGATTAATGTCTGGTTGGTGGTTTGGAACATGCTTGGATTATTTTTCCATATATTGGGAATGTCATCATCCCAACTGACTTTCACTCCATCATTTTTCAGAGGGGTAGGTCAACCAGCAACCAGAAAAGTGTTAAAGACTCATTGGGTTGGTTTAAGGGAATATCTGAAGCAGAATCCATGGTTTTTTTTCCGCTCAATATGGGGCTTACCATTCAATATGGGGTTTTCCCGTAAATTCTCCCCTCAACCATATCCAATGTTAAACCAACAAACGTTGTGATATGTTGTGTTGGGATTGAAGCGACACAAGTCAGGATTGAACTGGATTTCCACAACAAGCCAGTTGGGCTCTCAAGCAAAAAGACGATCGGCTTAACCTTCAAACCAACAAAAGTTGGTGTTTGACCAACGAAAATGGGGCTTCGACCAAGAGAAGCCAGGCTTCGACCAAAAGAAATGTGCTAATTTTCACTAGAAAAATGGTGCTACCGCGAATTCTGGGACTATAAGCCTCCATTTTTCTGGTCTTATGGCCGGAAGATATGGATCTTTGACAGGATATTCCGCCAAGTTCTGTGACCCGTGGCCAAGACTCATTACCATATTTTGATGCCCTTGATTAGCAAACCCTAACTCTAAGGGAGTTTACCCCAAAATAGCGATAAGATATTATATATATATATTATCATGAACATTGCTAGCCTGATTTTTTTTAAAACTAAACTAAAATAAGCAAGCTTCAAAAACTATAGGTTTGTTCATGTTTTTCCCCATAATATGTTGTATTGTTTGTGGCATTTCCATTAATGTGGGTAAAACAATAATCAACCATCCCCCAATCACCATAAACAGGTGGCATAAACCATTCCCAAATGGGTGGTAAAACAATCATAAACATTCATATTTCACAGGAAAATTGATGGTTTCCGGTGAAGATGTTCCCTTCCGAAAACCCATCCATTGAGTATATTTTTTCGTCCAAATCCTATCTTAAATCCTCACTTCCCATTGAGTATTTTCCCATGATTTCCCCATAGACTTCACGCATTTCCCATGGAGATTCCCATCATTTCCCATCCATTTTGGACCCCCCGAGGTTATTCCGCCCATGGCATTGGCCGCCCCGTGGATGACCCAGAGGATCCATGGCCTTTGGTCCCGTGGCTCCGATCGTGGCTCCGAGTTCCGATCCAAAAATGGAGGATTCGGAGGTCGGTTTTTTGAACGGTGAAAGATGGTGAAAGTTACCATCTGGTTATGACTAAGATAGTTATGCTATTAATGGGGATTCATCCACTATGTCTATATATGGCAATGTTCAATAGCTATTTGTATGTTTACCAGAGGGTAATGTCAACCCTGGATTAATAAACCATCTGGTAAACTGTCACATACAATGTGAGGCCCCCGTTCGATAGCGTTCAGTTGGTGAACATAACTCCAATGTCACTATGGTTTATGGTACTTATAACTATAGTTACTGGGGCTTATAAACCAACTTATAACTGGGGGGCCTCACATTGTATCTATTGAAAATGGCCATTTATAGAAGGTCTGCCAGTATAAAACCCTCTGGTAAACGTTTACATGACATAACTATGGAAAGATCCACCATGCTATTAATGGGAAAATCAAGCGATATATACCTCAGATATAGGAGTGGATTAATATATCATCTGGTTATGACTAAGATAGATATGGAAAAATTACTACACTAGTTTGATTCATAAAACAGGAAGGTCTGCCAGTTTTACCCTCTGGTAAACGTTTACATAACTATGGAAAGATCCACCAATCAACCGATATATACCTCAGATATAGGAGTTATAATATACCATCTGGTTATGACTAACATAGCCATGGAAAACAGATCCACCATTTTTAATGGGAAAATCAACCGATATATACCTCAGATATAGGAGTTATAATATACCATCTGGTTATGACTAACATAGCCATGGAAAATCCTTGGATCATGGAAAATCCAGGTTTATTAATCTGGTTATTTAACGGCCAAAGATGGTTAAAGATGGTTAAAGATGGATAAACATGGTTAAAGATGGTTAAAGATGGTTAAAGTTAAGTAATGTCAACCCTGGATAATAAACCCCAAACGGCTGTTTATAGCCCTTAACAGTTATAAATGATTATAAATGGGATTCTACTGATATATAACCTTAGATATAGGAGTTATAATATACCGTCTGGTCACTTAACATAGCAATGGAAAATCACCAAAATAAATGGAGGTTTTTATGGGAACATGTTTTTTGTAAATGGGCCATTTTCCATAGCTATGTTAAATAGCGAGAGGGTAAGTACCTACGTACCACATGTTTAAGGGAACTATTGGATTTGTAAGGGGAATATTGAGGAATATGACTGTCATTAGTATTGTGAACTATAATCATATCCTCCAGTGGAGCCTACTTAGCCAAGTAATAAATAGTGATGTGCATCAACTTAGCTATCGTTGGTGACGGGCGTAGGGCGTAGGCACCATGGGGTTGGCTGTTGCCGGCGTGTTGGCGTGTAGGGGCCATCAGTGGAGACTTCACCCAGCAAAAAATGTGGGGAATGGCCACAGCCGATACATGATATCACTGATATAACTGTATAGTGATATATATATATATATAAATGAGGACTTAATATATCTTAATATGGACTTAATATATCTTAATATGGACTTAATAGATCTATAATTAATTATACTGATTGGTGCTGACTGCAACATGGCTGGATTATTTGTCCCATATTGGGAGTTTCATCATCCCAACTGACGAACTCATATTTTTCAGAGGGGTTCAAACCACCAACCAGATATATATCTTGGTGTAATTTGGATCAAGTGCGAACTGCCAAAAAAATAATCGACTATAGAATGGGCATTCTGCAATTTCTTGAGTTCTCCATAGGTCTTTCTTTACAACATATTGAAGTAGAGTAGTAGAGTAGAAACTAGAAACTCAAGGCTCAAATTTATTAGAATCCTATTGTTTTGCATGAAATCCCTCGTTTTCAGCGACAAAATCCATGGTCAGAGGTGTGGCTTTGGCAGTCCTGGCGACGCCCAGAGCCGATGAAGAAGGTGAATTGATATAGAGACTGGGCCAATGATTTTCTGGGGATGGAGATGTTTCTAGGTAAATAGGGGGATAAAAAATGATATAGCCAACAAAAAATATGGGGATATAGGGGATATAATGGGATATCAATGGATATAATGATATTCTGGTGGGATTTCAACCATCAAAAATTGGGGGTGATGATTCTGAATAACTCATATTTTCTCAGATGGGTTGATAGAGACCGGGCGACTGCGCTGATTTTGGAAAACGACGTTATTGTGGGAAAACTAGGATTATATAATTATATAATATAGATTATGTAACTTAATCAGCAAATTCAAGAAATGGGATGTTTTTTTTGTTGGTGGGCGGGGGATTCTTGAAGGCTTTTGGGCTGTTTTGGTATGCCAAACTTAGTAGTTATTGTCAGTCTCGACATCGGCTAACATCTCCATAAAACTGGCGCTTGGTAAGGGGAGTAAAAACCAAACATGAATACCCTCTGGTGAACATACGAAAAGCTATTGAAAATGGTGATTTATAGTGGATTTACCCATTGAAAATGGTGATTTTCCATAGTTATGTTAGTTTACCAGAGGGTCTTATACTGGCAGACCTTTCTGCTTTATGAATCAAACTAGTCTAGTAATTTGCCCAGAATGATGTGAATCGTGTTTTAGAGGTGTTTGTGTTTGATTATGTTTTATTTTTTATGCTTTCCATAGATGTTCATAAAACGGCGGTTAAAAATGCTGATGGCCCCTCCACTATCAACGAAGCAGTGGGACGAGGACAACTATGGCACTATGGACTGCCATCAAGAAGTGTCCGTGGCAAAATTGAACGGAACAAGCAGATCACAAAATTGATGACATATGAAGTGATAGCTTATCAAGGGAACACAACCAAATATCAATGCATGCTGCGCATCGCTGCGCATGCTCATTTCTGGTGGTCCATTTGGGCTGATGTTCGTTCTATCAGTGTCTCAATATGTGTCTGATATACACAATATGAGGCCCCCGTTCGATAGCTAAGTTGGTTTATAACTCCAATAACTATGGTTTATGGTACTTATAACTATAGTTACTGGGGCTTATAAACCAACTTATACCTGGGTGGCCTCACATTGCGCGCATACAATGGCGTTGCTTTGGTGGATCCAAATGTATGTCAGATGACACTTGAAGAGTGGCGAGCGATCATCCCTGATTCCGCATGTTCTTGCCAGCTGTTTCCCCCCTTCCCCAAAAGGGCTACAGCGGCTACAGGGGCAAGAAGCAAGCAGTGAAGGAACCCGCTATAGTCAACCCAGTGAACAACTTCTCCCTTGACATCACATTGCTTTGCCAAGAGTCTGGAAGCCACCAAGCATGAAGAAAAATGGCGGTGTCAACCAAGACACATCGGATTCCACCGGGATTTTCCTATGATTTTCCCATCATAAATTGGACCAACAAGGCAAAAACAAGCAGAAACCACCAGGAAACTGCCGATTTCCGAACGGTGCCACCCGGGATGTCACACCATGAGGCCAGCCGTCACCGCAGTCACCGCAGTCACCGCAGTCACCGCAGTCACCGCAGTCACCGTCTGAGGGCTTTGGGTCTCCACTGGCTGCGGAATTCGGTGGTTTGCCACGCTGATGGGACCGATGGGAGTTGAGCTCACTGTTTGCTGGACAAATCAAATGGGATCAAATAACCATCACACCTGATTTGATATCATATATATTCATATATCATATATCATATACGGGATTTACGTGGATTTACGGGCAAATTGTATCAAATTGTTGTGGACATGTTGATCAGGAACATGATTTTAGTAAGCATTTGGTGCCATGGAGTGCTCAATTTTCAGACAAACCATGCAGTGAGATTTGGAGATTTGTTAGGTGTTGAAACCACCATCCAGTTCATGTTTTTTATTTTTTTATTTTTTTGGGAGTGATACCCTCTGGTGAACTGACATAACTTTGGAAAAACACAATTTTCAATGGGAAAATCCACTATAAATGGTCATTTTCAATGGCTATGTTAAATTACCAGAGGGTAGTTGCAAAGAAACGATATCAGTGCATTTCCACACAGACCGGAGATGTTGAGGATGGATCCCTCATGGAACGACGAAAACGGAGTCGTGCTTGTTGTGCTCATCAGAGGCCGTCCCTGCCACAATTCCGCAGTGATCGAAGGTCCTGGCCACATTTCAAGACGAAGTGGTGAAATGCCGGGGGTCGGAACCAGGTCACCAAAATGTGGTGAAAATGGGCAATTGCTGATGCGATGCGCCAAAACCTTGGTATCCTGGGTACACCAAAATAATTTGTTAAATATATATATATATATAGATTTTAATGATAAATTATGGATATGTGTTCCTCCCAATATATGGTAATAACAGGTTTTGACTTTTGACCCATCCCGATTTGTATGTTAGCATATGTTTAGCCATACCTGGTTCGGAATAGTTATTTTATTATTTCCTGCTGGGCTTGTCTCATTTTAAATTTGTGCCAAAAAATGTCAAGAACCAGTTTGTAGGGTTTTAAACCCATGTGATAGCCCGCTGGACTGGGGTTACCACTTGTTTGTAACCATCGCTTAGCAGCTATCTATCGACCTGCTACAGGAGGAATTGGCAGGTTAAACCTGGGTGATGATATATAGACCAGGTTAGCCATGAACCTGAAATCCGGTTGATCAATTACGGAGGAACATACTAACAGTAAGAACTTACTGTTGGAAGCTCTTCGCCGAAAAAAACGACGACAAAAAAACAGGGGACTGTGCAGCCTGGGTGAGACCTTGGGAGGCGAGAATCACAATTTTTCATAGGTAGAGCATCTACAAATTGGCCATTTCCTGTAGCTATGTTGGTTTACTGGAGGGTATGCCGATTCTAGCAACACCAAGCCACGCAAATCGGCAATGCACCAAGCTTGAAAGAGCAAAACCTTCAGAAGATTCTCACCCAGATCCATTCATAGAATCGATGTCTTTTTACCAGATTGATAGAGGGATTGAACCCCCCCTTGACCCCAAGCTTTTCTTGCAATGATGACATGGCCCCAATGTCAAACAGACACATAGGTTGAGTTCTCATGGCCAACCTGAGAATGATGTTCAGATGACAAATGGATTGCCAGACCCCTCCAAAATATTCCCAAGTCAGGACATGGTTGAAACCCATAGCAATGGCACCGAAGCCGGGATCAGGGATCCGCTAGGGATCTTCCAGGCTTTTCCGCATTGGAACCCTTGAAACGCATGGAAGATGTTGGAAAACTTGCGCCCTATGGATCCCTACTGTAAATTAATTGATAGTAACCCCATCTAACCCGCAACAAACATAGACTATGTCACTATTTCAGCAGGAGTTTACTGTTCTATTTCTTTTGAGGGGGTGCTATAACATAGATTCATAGATCTGAAAAAAAATAAAAGATGGTTTCTCCCCTACAACGAAAGGTGGGATTTGTCCATATTCGGAGGGTGAAATTGGCATGAACATGGATCACGTTTCTGGATAGATTATATTATAACAATATCTCTGCGGTGTCACTGCACATTGTGGTTTTCCTATACGGAGGATCATCCCCAAATAGTATGATTTATGGTTTATCCTCCTTACTAACCACAATTTATGGTTTAACTTCACTTGGTGAATCATTCTGGTTCATATATTAAGCCGATGCTGATTCTTCATGAATAGGAAGCAGCTATGGCATGACATTTTCCCACCAGGTGGTTCATGGGCACGTTGAGACAACCATATCTTAAACGACTTACCCTCTGGTAAACATACAAAAAGCTATTGAACATTGCCATTTACAGTTGATTTACCCATTAAAAATTGCTATTTTCCATAGTAATGTTAGTTTACCAGAGGGTAAACGTGTATGTACCTACGTTTACGGTGATAAACATGAAAATACCGCATGTATTACTCTGCAGCTCTGGCTTCAGGGTATGGTTGGCCACAACCCCGCCTGTGGCTGCCCGTTGTGCAATTGTGTTTCAAGGATCTACTCAATCTTTGAGGCAGGGGGGCACCTCTTGGGCTTCGAGGGCTACGTGGTCAGCCGATTCCGCTTGCTGGAGGCGGAACTTCGTGACGAGCTCCAGCGCCCTCTCCCTGGGGTTACAGGGACACCACCAGGGCCGGCAGCGCCACCTGCCAGGCCCCTTGTAGGGGAGGCCAAGTCCTCCCAAAAGCCGCCGGCTGAGGAGGCTGCGAAAGACGCGCCCAAGGAGAGTGCCCTCAACCTGACCACCAAGTGCGGGCCGCCTGCCCCGCCTGAAGGTCTAGCACCTGCGGCCCCAGCCTCCACTGCAGGGAAAGAGAAAGAAGAGCCTCAGGAGGATCAAAAGGTGACAGAAAAGCCCAACGCATCAGCCCCTGCCAGTGGAGCCAGTTCATCAAGGCCCACAAGAGAGAAGGAAGAAGAGCCCGAGAGAAGTCCCCGGCATAAGGGAGGCAGAGACCCTCCTAGATCCAGAAGCAAGAAGAAGAAGGCCCGGAGAAGTCGAAGCCACAGTTCAAGAAGGAGAAGGCGCGATAGAAGCCGCTCAGGGGGTGAACGAGACCGCAAAGAAAGGAAAGCCCGTGACGAGAGGCCACCAGAACCGCGGTATCCACCCCGACATTCAGGACCCATCCCAGCTTGGGGCCCGCGGCAGCCGAATTACCCCCCTCCTCGAGTACCTCAAGGCCCCGGGTGGCGAGGAGTACTCCCCGTCAGCGACCATCCAAGGTGGACAGATTCCACCAACAAAGGGCGCGTGAAGCGTGCCAAACAAGAGGTTTTCAGTAGCAGACGCTATCGGTGAGGGGAGCTAGGATGGCTCCTAAAGCGGCAATGGTGGTCATGAGAAGGCCAGCGGCTGTGAGGCCCCCTCGACGCCGACCCGCCGCGCTAGGAGATGAGGAAGTTGAGAGAAGAGAGGACCCCCCGGGTCAGAAAAGGTTTGTTGATATCAATCCCAGAGCTCTACTGTCTCTGGGGACGGTGGCTATTGAAGAGGGCCGTTACTATGGAAGAACAGTAGCAGTGGCAGGCAGATTCAAAAGCTTTCGAAGTGAAGGCGACGAGATCTATGCGGAGCTGGTGGTGGGTGGAACAAAGGATGAGGAGTTACTGAGGATTTTAAGTGGAAAAGAAGAGAGGAGCCTCTCCATCCACTTATGTGGCCCCGAATGCCCAGGGGTTCTCACTGATGAGACCCTTGTGCACGCCCACAACTATGAGGAGGTGGACGCCCGTCGACTTCCTTGGTTGACCAACCTGGAGAAAGTGAAGCCCCCGGAGCGTGACGTGGATGAGATGGCCCGTCTTCGAGATGAACAACGACGCATGGAGGCAGAGAAGAAAGAGGCGGACAAGAAGGAGGATAGAAAAGAAAAGAAAAGAAAAAGAAAGGAGGAGAAAGAGGGGAGACGTAGCAAGTCTCCTAAAGAGGAGAAGGATTATCTGGACCCTGGCCAGAAGCAGTTGGAAGCAGTGTTCAAGGACACTGGAATGGATCCTGATCCCAGCAGAAGAGCAAGAGTGATGAGAAAAGCCAGGAGACTTTTGAAGAGCAGCAGGAAAAAGAAAAAGAAAGCTAAAGGAAGCAGCAGCAGCGTGGGCACCTCCAAGAGTTCCAGCTCGAGTACAAGCAGCCTGGAAGCAGTGGAAGAAGGGCTCTACGACGAAGAGCAGAAGCTCCAAGCAGTATGGAGACGGTACCCAGGCACGCTTACGGCGCGGTCCCTGCAGGAGATCCGTCGTAGCCTGGTTACGGCTGCCGGCACGATGTGGTCGGTAGACCGAGCAACGCTGCCCCCTCTGTATACGCAGTATGGGAGGCAGGTTGTGTTGCCAGCGATGAGCCCAGCCCTGCAACAAGAAGCACTCACCCTTTGCCAAACCATGGATTATATAATCCAAGGCAAAGTTGCGGCGGGCCTAGATATCCTCAATCAGAGGTTGAAAAGTATCGTGGCCCTTTCAAAAGGATCGCATTGGAGCCTGGGAAGACAATACGAGCTCATCAAGGTTGACGAGAGAGGTTTCGCTGAAGAAGGTGAGATGTTGTCAGCAGCACGAAGGGCCAAAGAAGACGAAAAGCTCAAAAACCTGATGGGAAGGCCAGGCACAGGTAAGGGAGCAGACTACTCCCAAGGAGGAAAGACAAGGAAGGGGAAGGACACCAAGGGTACCAGTAAAGGCCAATCCACTGATGCAGGAAAGAACAAAGGAGGAGGAACTGGGAAGGATGACCGTCGGAGGGATGCCAGAAAAAGCGACTGAGTTGAAGGATGAGGCATTAGTGGATTGGAAGAAAAGTACCCTGGTGAAAGAAAAGGATAAGGGAGTGAGGCAGAGTGACACTCCTAAGGAGGGCCCAGAAAAGCGGGGCGTTGAGGCTGAGACACTTGAGGCAAGGGCGCAAAAATCTATGAGGCACGAAGAAAGTTTCACAGTTGAGGAGATAGACAAACTGATTGACGAAGCTCGCAGTTTGGCCTCAGCAGCACAGTTGGATCAGCAGGAGTGGCGGCCGGCTGGACCAAAAG